ACAAATCTCAGATTAAAAAAAAAAAAAAAGCAGAAGCTAAAACATGGTGGTCCTTCTGCTCACGGGATAAGAAAAGCATCATCTTAAATATGCAAAATGGACTTGAACCTTTGTAAAGCTAGACATATGGCAAAGGCCAGTGTTCTCAGTTACTCTGGAGGTTGGAGGGATCAACTGAACCCAAGAGGTCAATACCAGCCTTGGCAACATAGCAAAGATCTTATATCAAAAAACAATATACTCTGGGTGTGATAGTGGTACACCTTTAATCCCAGCACTCGAGAGACAGAGGCAGATGGATCTCTGTGAACTTGAGGCAACTCTGGCCTACAGATCCAGCCATGGCTACACAGAGAAACCTTGTCTCAAAAAAACATACACAAAAAAATAAAAGAAAATTAAAAAAAAAAAAAACATACCTCATGTCTTAGCTAGGATACCTATTGCTATGATAAAGCACTGACAGAAAGCAACTTGAAGAGGAAAGGGTTTACTTCACTTGCATTTCCACATCACAGTCTATTTTCAAGAAGGGTCAGGGAAAGAACTTCAGGCAGGAACCTAGAGTCAGGAAGTGAAACAGAAGCTGTTTTGAAACAAAAGCCATGGAGGAGTGCTGCTCCCTGGCGTGCCCTTCAGGGTTCAGAGCTTGCTTCTTTTTTTGTTTTGTTTTCGAGACAGGGTTTCTCTGTGTAGCCTTGGCTTTTCTGGTCTAGCTTTGTAGACCCGGCTGGTTCTGCCTCCCTCAGTGCTGGGATTACACGTGTGCACCACCACACCTAGTTGCTCAGCCTATTTTTGTATAGTACCCAGGACCACTGGCCCTCAGGTGACACTTCTCACCGTGAGCTGGGCTCTATCACGTCAATCATCCATCATCAATCAAGAAAATGCACCCCAGGCTTGCCCGCAGGCCAATCTGCTTGAGGCATTTTCTTAGCAGAGGTTCCCTCTTCCCAAGTGGCTGGCTTCTATCAGCCTTTCTTTAATGAAGGTCAGTGCCCAGGGTTAAAGGTTCTCTGCAACTGCATTCTTTCAGGTCTTTTCTTAGTTGGTGGGACTTCACGCACTAACTGCTGAGTTTCATTCTGTTACTGTGACAACTACAATGACCAAACGCAGCTTAGGGGAGGAAAGGGTTTATTTCAATTTACAAATTACAGTCCATCCTGGAGGGCTGTCAGGAAAGGAGCAAGAGGGAGGTGAGGCACTGCTCAGAAGTATGAAGGGAGATGCTTCCTGGAGGTAAGAAAGCTGGATTGCCCTGGGCCTGGTGCCCAGGAGTCAACTGCTCCCACTCCAAGTCGCTACTTAGTTGCTGTCCCTCGCTGTGCTCTCTGCAGTCACCACTCAACACCAACATCTTCTAGAAAAGCAGATAACTATGTTTCTTTTCCCCTCCTTACCACAGTCTATCACATATGCTGCTCTTGGCAGAATACAAATTGGCTGGCAGGGGCTCCAAGGTGTAGCCAGTGCTTGGGTGAGGGATTCAGAGGCATCAGAAATGAATGGACACACACTTCTTGGGAGTTGAAAAGACTGAGCTCTCATTGGGCTCTTCCCAATGCAGGGAGGTTCCTGCAATGGTCAAGACTCTTGACAGGATCTAGAACCACCTGGATGGTTCTGTTCTAGGTACAGGCCTGTGAGAGGCTTCCTAGATCGAGTTAATCAGGTGAGAAGACTCATCCTGACCTGTCAGATTTATTAGAGAGAAAGCCGGCTAAGTACCAGCACTCATCCCTGTTTGCTGACTGATGATGCAAGGTGACCAGCTTCTTGAAGCTCCTAATGCTGTGACTTTTCTGCCATGATGGACTATGCCCTGGGACTGAGTCAACACAAACCTTCCTTCCCTAAGTTGGTCAAGGGTTTTGTATAGCAACATAATCAACAAGTACGGCAGTCTTCAGTCCTCCTGCTGTTTTAGGCTCATGTTCACCTTCCTCCGAATGGTGAGCATTTGCCCTTTCCAGCTTGACTACTGTCTCCTCTGCTCCTTTCCCTACCGCCATGTCTATCATATGATCCAACCCCCTCCCCTCCTCCTGACTCTTTGGGAATTCTCGTTTCTTTCTTTTTCTTTCTCTTTTTTTTTCTCTCTCTCTTCTTTCTTCAGGGTTTCCGTATGTATCCTTGGCTGTCCTATACTCCCTTTGTAGAGCAGACTGGCCTCAAACTCAGAGTAATTCACCTGACTCTGTCTCCCTGAGTACTGGGATTAATGGTGTGCACAACCACACCAGGTTGGAAATTCTCACTTCTCTGAACTCTCTAGACATCTATCTCATCTCCTCCTGTCCTGTTTTCAAACACACCCAAAACAAGCTGTACAAAAACAACCAGCTAAAAAGACAAGCCAAAACACTTCTATGGCCAATCTGTTTTTAGCATTTAAGTTTTCTGTTGAGTGGTTCCTTGTCTGGCTATGTCCCAGTGCTTGATACTGGAGGTTCAAACCTGGGCATTTAGAAGTTCTTGACTCTTAAAAGGTATCGGGTGGCAGTGGCAGTAAGGACAGCTCAAGCCTCTCATCCAGAATCAGGGAGGCAGAGGCCAGTGGATCTCTGAGTTCAGGGCCATCCTGGTCTACAGAGACAGTTCCGGGACACCCAAGGCTATGCAAAGAAAACCTGTCTTGAAAAATAAAAACAACAAAAAGGAAAGATTGCAAATAGCAGGGAAACTATTCAAAGCAAAACAACAATACAGACTAGGAGTGTGCTATCAAGAGACTAGTAGGTCACATGGGTGAAGATACTCAGGGCCCTTGCTTGTGAAGTCTAAAAGAAGGGGAGTTGATTGCTTAGAGGTGTAGTTTTCGTAGTTCACTATTTGACAGAGTATATTATTACAGCATCTTTTCTACTGTACATTTCCCCATAATGTATGATTTTAAACTACATGCACACTGGATTACAAATAGGAATAACATGGTTTTCTTAAAAGTTCACTTTAAGGACAGTGTATCTTACTATGCATATACTCCAAACTATTTCTGGCTGGCCTCTTTCTTCTCCTTTCACTACTAGAATACAACCGAATAGAATCTAAGTTTGATGGCAATTAAGTGGAAGAGAAACTTGTTTCATTGACCAGACTGGTGTGTGTGCATGTGCATGCATGTGAGATTGGGCACCATTGCATGATGGAGGTGGGGAGAGTGATGTCATAGGCTGTTGGCTCTATTGTTCAGAGGAGTGTATGCATAGCCCAAGCCAAGTGGCATCCCAGCCCCCTTAGCTTTTCCTTGTATTTGTCTGCCTCTCATTTGAGAGGAAGCACGTAACAGACAGCCTTCTTTCATGGCTTTTCTTCCTTTTTAAAGATTTATTTATTTAGGGCTTGAGAGATGGCTCAGCGGCTAAGAGCACTGTCTGTTCTTCCAGAGGTCCTGAGTTCAATTCCCAGCAACCACATGGTGGCTCATGACCATCTATGAGATCTTGTGCCATCTTTCGGTATGCAGGCAAACATATAGTCAGACACTGAATGCATCATAAATAAATCTTTAAAAATTTATTTATCAAAAAATTATTTATCGTGTATAGTTTTTTTGCTTGCATGTACGCCTGCACCTCCAGAAGAAGGCACCAGATCTCACTATAGATGGTTGTGAGTCACCATGTGGTTGCTGGAAATTGAACTCAGGACTTCTGGGAGAAGCAGCCAGTGCTCTTAACCTCTGAGCTTCAGAGCCATCTCTCCAACCTCTTTCATGACTTTCCTTTCCTTCAGATCTGAGCAAAAATGTCACCTCTCAGAGGCCAGCCTACCACACAGGCCTGACACTTTCCCACTGGAAATGGTATTTTCCCCAGTATATCTGGGGGAAATGTAATCTTGTTGAGGGCAGGCAACATGGCCAACTTGCTGACTTGTGCCCTTGTGCTTGACACTAACACTGGACTTATCTATGGACTCAACCAACGTGGGATACAAGTATTCAGGAAAAAAAAAAAAATGACCCCTGCAGATCGGAGATGTTGAAAATTTTCACCATTGCTCTCTAACAGTCTAGCAACTAACTATTCATATGACATTCATACAGCACTTATCAAGGGTACCAGGAGAGGACAGGTATTCTATGAGAACGTGCCTTGGTTAAGCGGCTGTCATCATCTCTATTTAAAGGATTTAACCAGGTGTAATTGCATTATGTGTGGGGATCTTAGAAACAATCCCCCATAGACAGTTGTGGTTTATGCTTATTTGGACCAGGATACACTACGGTAGAGACTACCCTGAAACCTAACATGATTTGACCTATAAAAAAAATCCCACCAATTTAGTTCCTCCAACTCAACTTGGTGCCAATTTACGAGGTGTTGTGTTCAGGCCACACCTACTTTACTTTCCCAAGTTTACTCCACAACTCATGCAGAATTCCATGGTCTCATGGCTCCACTTGTGGTGCCCAACTTAAGACAACTTGCTATTTATTCTCCGGACCACCACTTGCTAGGATGTTTCTAACAGTCTTCCTTCTACCTTGTCCCTGTGTCCTATTCCTCATGACACGGTCTATCTTCTTTAGCATGGTTTTCCATGGCGGGGCTGGCCTTGAACCTGATTCTCTAGGTTTTGTGGTGGGATTACAGGAGGCTCGAGAACTATCTAGCTCAGTCGCCTGCCTAACAAACTAATCCCCATGAGACACAGGACAGGTACAGGGGCCGCTTTTCCTCCCTACTCCTTTGGCCAAACCGTTCGTTGCTCCTTTCTCTCTGCTCTGGCCACGGTCCTTTGGACTACCTGAGTGTGGCACATGCTTCCTGGCTTCTAGAACATGATCTCATAAAACATTTCACTTTCTTTAGCTTTTGAAAGGAATGGTCTGTGCGGCTCGGGGCTCCTCGAATGCACTAGGAGAACTGAAAAAGTTTCTTCCGGTCATTTCCGAAGGGATTTTCCTGGGTGCGGTCACCTAGACTTTCGGGCCACCACGCTACACGGCGTCTGCGCAGGCGCGGGCGCGCGGGGCATCACGGGCCGCCCGGACGCGGAAGATGGCGGACGCGGCCGTGGGTAAGGACAAGTGCGGGGAACAGCGGCTCGTGTCGCTGCCCCTGTCCCGCATCCGAGTCATCATGAAGAGCTCTCCTGAGGTGTCCAGCATCAACCAGGAGGCGCTGGTGCTCATGGCCAAGGCCACGGTGAGCGGCCGGCGGGACGACGAGAGGGGCGGGCGCGGGCACCAACCGCCCCTCGGGTTCCGCACACGCCCGGCTATTCGGCTGCCCGGCGGGGGCCGCGCGGCTCCACCTCTTTCTGCGCCTGCGCGCTCCGCACCCTGCCTGAGCTCCGCCCACCGCGCCGCTCCCGCTGTCCTTTGCGCTGCTTTCACTCTGCGGGCTCACTTCGCTCCCACCGTTCTTCGTGACCCGCCCACCGCGTCACTCCCGCCCTGCCTCGCGCGCGCGGTCCGGTGTGCGGCTGCGCGTGTAGGCGTGGGTCGGCGCAGCGCGAGGTCCGACTCTCGACGTAGTTTCTGTTGCTCACCTACAGGGTGACGCGGGAGTTCTCGAAGCTTCCAGGTCAGCCTGTCATGGGATGTTCAGCCCTCAGGCCTCCGGAGGTTTTTATGCTTTATGCAGAGAACAGCTGGTCGCAAGTTAGACTGCAAGAGACAAATTATAACCTCACAGCCCCCTCCCAACACAGATCGCTCTGTAGACTTGTAGACCAGGATTACCTCAAACTCGAAAGAGATCCGCTGGCCTCAGCCTACCAAGTGCTGCCGAATTTAAGGCCTGTTCTCTTGGTCTTGGCCACGTTTCTGATTGTAGAGCAGTCCTGCCACCTCCCCCTTCTGAGTTCTGGAATTAAACATTCGTGCCAACACTCCTGGTTTAAAGTTTGGTCTAGATAGTAGGAACCTTACTGTCCCGAGACCAGGCCATTATAACTGCCTCTAGGTTGCTTTCCCGCATCTACTTACAGAACTTCAGTGCGTGGTAGTTTTACAGTAATTTGTACTAAGGTCAAGGGAAGTGTAAATCTTAGGACTTTACAACAGAGCTGACCTTAAGTAGAGCCTGACAAAATGAAATAGTTCCCCAGTACAAATACAAGCCTTAGGATAACAAGCCCCTTGGGGTTGGAGATTTAGCTCAGTGGTAGAGCCCTAAGGCTCTGGGTTCGGTCCTCAGCTCCGGAAAGAAAGAAGAAAAAAAAAGGGATAACAAGCCCCCTTTAGACAACGGTGTGCTATTTATACATAGACTGCACATTTCTAAAACATCTCAAGATCATGGGGGAACTTCCTCTTGTTTCTGTGTGGCCTTGGGACGCGTGTCCTAGCATCAAGAACCTAAGAACTGCAGACCCTTCTCTCAGCACTTATTATCGGAAATACGGAACCTTGGGGAAGACTCAGTTTACCTTAGTTTGGAGTCTTGGGATCTTGTCAGTTCTGCTCCTAGAAGGTACTTGGGCAAAAAGAGATGTCATTTTTCAGCTGGGGGTTGTTGTTTTTTAACTACAGTTATGAGTAAAGAACCTTCAACAAGAGATTCAAGTAGACTGAAAATGTGTTCCCAAGACACAGACAAGTGGCAGTTCACATCTGTAATCCAGTCACTTGGGAGACTGAGGCAGGAGCATCTACAGGAATTCAAGTCTTAGCAGGGACTACAGAGGGGGACCCTGTAAATTCCTTTGCAGACCAGATATAATTCCAAAAGATAGGGTTTCTTTGTGTAGCCTTGGCTGTCCTGGAATTGTGTAGACCAGGCTGGCCTTGAACTCAGAGATCCACCTGCCCCGACCTCCCCAGTGCTTGGATTAAAGGTGTGTGTTACCAAGCCAAGCTAGATAAAATTTTTGAATGGGCTTTTACTCCAATTTGTAGAGGCTGGTAACACTCTACCCCATCCCTCTTTTCAGACAAAAGCTCAGACTAGCCTTGAACTTGATATGTAGTGAAGGCTGCCCTGACTTCCTGTGCCTCTTGCCTCCACCCATACTGTGCTGAGATGATAGTTGTGCACCACAGCATCCCCCAGAAACCAGTCATTTATAATCACTTGTAAATATTTTTTATGTTATACAGAGAAGTGAAGCTGGGAAATGCCTGCTGCCTCCTGCATTACAGTCATGCTTCCTAATTTCATGTTTCCTCCTCCTGTAAACTGATTTCCTGTAATTTAATTTGAGGAACTAAGATAATATGAAGTACTAATGAAATTTTAAGTGTTGAATTTTATGGTGGATTTTCAACATCCATTTCGACCTTTCATTTGATTTTGTTGTTGGTTTAGGAGCTCTTTGTTCAGTATCTAGCCACCTGTTCCTACAGACATGGCAATGGCAAAGTCAAGAAAGCGCTGACATACAGTGACTTAGCCAGCACAGCAGAAGACTCAGAGACACTTCAGTTTCTTGCAGGTACTTAATCTTGGGACATTCTGGTTAAACAAAAACTTGCAGTGAACTATTCCTCCCTTCATTGTTCTGCCTGCTGCCTCAGTTTGTCCTGACCTGGCATCGGGAAGTGTTTTTGGCTTTCTCCATTTGAGCCCACCAAGAATCACAGAAGTTGATGGTATTCCCAAGATGATTCACTAGCTATGCAGACTTACTGAGCTGTACACTTGTCCTGTTTTCCCCCACCCCCAAAACAGAGCAACTGGTGCATGCAGCTAAAAAGAGCTTCAGGCTAGCCCAGGGGCCAGCCCCATCTTCCTCAACTAGCTTGGACAATGTTGTTCACAAAATCAGGTCATAGAATGTAAGGCTATGGAGTGTAAGTCTGTAAGCATGCACCAGGAAATGATGCTGGTCTCTGTGATTCTTCACCTAGACGTGTACTTGGATTTCATCTTGGTATGTACTTATAGAAGGTATTCTTGGGCTAAAGGTAGAAATAGTACCTTTTGGAACTTGCATTGTTGTATTCATAGTTCTCCATAACCAATTGTTGATGTTTTCTGTTTTTAAGATATATTACCAAAGAAGATTTTAGCTAGTAAGTACCTGAAAATGCTAAAAGAGAAGAGGGAGGAAGAGGAGGAAGAGAATGAGGATGATGAAAGTGACGCTGCTGAAGCCCTGGCATAAGCCAGCAAGAAGCGCTCTCAGTGAGCCCAGGGAGCATGCTCAAGGACAGACTGACAGCTGGGAAATGATGGGCACTGCAGCTTTGTCTCAGACTTGCAGCTTGTTTCATCCCTTCTTGCAGTGGGAAAGACTGGACAGCAGCCTCCCCCACAGGCCCTCCAGCCATCTCCCTCTAATCCCAGGAGAGCCCTGGGCAGATGGCTCTGCTCTGGCTTTGGGAACAGCAGCACATACCACTGAGCTTCACATTGAACTTGCAGGGAAGACCTGGAAAGCTCCATGTCAGCTGTGTAGTCACTTGGACATCCTGTTCTCAGAAATGGCTACACCATACTGTGCTACCTTTGAATTTTTTCATTTTTTTAAAAATGGACTATGTTATTCTATTGTACAGAAATTTGCTCTTTCCTTTCCATTAAAGGTCTTGTATTTTACAGTAACATGCTTTATTGATGTTGTTTGAGGTTCTTTGATTTTTCTAATGTCTTTCTCCCTGAGCATTTTGTGAAATTTCAGAGTGAGCATTTCTGGCTGGAGATTGTGATCCAGGTAGAGTGTGTGCTTAGGCACAGTGCCTTGGGACTGCTCTCAGCAGCAACAAGTAAGTAGCTGCTCCATTCCCAGCTCATCACATGCAATTGAAGGAGTCTTCTGTGTGTCCTAAGGGTTTCTATTGCTGTGATGAAACACCATGACCAAAAAAGCAAGTTGGGGAGTAAAGGGTTTTTTCAGTTTACACTTCCACATCACTGTTCAACACCAAAGGAAGTCAGGAACGGAACACAAACAGGGTAGGAACCTGGAGGAGGGGCCTGATGCAGGAGCCATGGGGCTTGCTGCTTAATGGCCCAACCTGCTTTCTTACACAATCCAGGACCACCACCCCAGGAATGGCACCACACACAATAGGCTGGGCCTTCTCCCATTGATCTTTAATTGAGAAAATGTCTTAGAGCTGGATTTCATGGAAACATTTCTTCAGCCGAGGCTCCTTTCGGATGACTGTCATGTGTCACATAGCAGGGATTATAAGGACATGCCAGTTCTACTGGCTAGCAATTTGTAGTTCGTTACAAATAATATACAGAATACCCAAAACATTCCCATGGCACCAGAGCTAATCCCTGTCCCTTACCCGCTCATAACCACTGTTTCTTTTATCCCCTTCTTCCCTCCTCAGCATCTTACTATGTAACCCTAGCTCTGAACTGGGCCAGCTGTGCCTCTGAGTGCCTTAGAGATGGCAAGATCCTCCCTGCCCAATTTTGCTTTTAAAACATATCTGTTAAAAATCCACTCTTTGATACACAGAATTGTCACGTGCAGCCACGTGACTACTATTAAGGACAGTTCTAGCACCCTCTTGAAAAATCTCTTGCCAGCATCTCCATCTCCACGTTACCCTGGCAACCACTGAGCTGCCCTGCGACCCAGTTGAAAAAAAAGACTGATGAACAAACAAAGCCTTAGGAGGGTCACAGGTTTGACAGAACTTGTTCTCCAGAGCACACTGTTCATTCTAGGGCCTTTCAGCCGCCAGGCTTTCTCATTCCCCCCCTCCCCTCTCTTACCAGCACCTGCACACTTTTCACTCAGCTGTACAGGTCAAAGCAGCCTGAAGAGAGGCCGCCAGGGTCTCCACCATGTTCACACCGTTCAGCAACCTGAGCTAGCTCAGAGAAGGCAAAAAACAAGACGACACAAAACAACAACCCCGTTCTCGTAGTCTGGAGCTCAGGGCCTCGCTCAGGATAGGCTCAGTTGAATGACTTCTCATATTTCCTTCTGTGCTGCTGGTATACAGGCACCCAGTTCTCACATACCACACTGTTCTCCTGCTGTGGTGCTCATCAACCCCAGGTCCTTGGGTGATGCAGAACACTGTTGAGCTAGTCCATCCTTTGGGCACAGCCCCTGGCTCTGCAGATCAAGGGTAGGGCCCAGATCCCTATGGAAAGAGGCACTCACAAAGAAGCTGGACTCCGCCTGTGCACTTGACAGCACTCTCAAGGGACACATCGAGTAACTAACTAGACACCTTTGGAGTAGGCAGCTGTAAATATGAGGAATTTTATTTCATTTTATTTTAACTTTATTTTGCGGACATACTATGCGGCAAAACAAAATTTGACACCATACAAAATAACTTTATAAAATATCATTCACATATTTTATCAATTTACAGCATTCTGTGCATGTTAGGGGGCTACATAAGGAGGTGAAAAAACACTATACCAAACTTTTAGTATTAGTTTATACACACAGAAGAACAACATAAGTAGCGGTTAGGTTTCCCATGAATTTATTGCAAAAATAGTGCAAACTATTTAACCTAGTAAGCTGTGAAAACAAACTTGAAAGGACCCAGCTAAGCTTAAACACGACAAGAGATGCGCAGTGTCTCAGCATTCAGCTTTCTTCACCAGCTGTCTTGTCCATGCAGACTACCCGCCCAGGTCAGTGTGGGTGAGTGCTGAGAAAGAAAGATGTGAAGGCTGCCGCTCCTGGGCCCATCTGCCCAGCGGCTGCACGTTGGCAGTGCCTTTAAGGTCATGCTACTTACTCAAGGGACACCCATGAGGTCTATGTGTAAAAGTTAAGATGCCACGACTTTGAACTGAAGGTACCCACCCTTGGGTGATGAGGAGAAGGGGACCGAAGCAGCATGAACACAAAAGATCTGAATGGCACAGCCTGCTGAGAAGCGGAGTACCCTTTTCCTCAAGTGTGCTTGGGGAAAGATTCCTAATGTAGGGTGACCTTAGAACCACATACTGCAGGGGGAGAAAGGAGGTACTAACTTTTTCAGTTTTTCTTTCAACAGACTATTGGGGTCCAAAAAAGCGTAATACCTGAACAAAATAAAGTAAAACACAATGCTACATAAAAAAGCAAAACAAAACAAAAAAACCCAAAATGCAGCACATGCAGGTCTTTGACTTGAGGTACCTATGTAAATTTCATCACCTGCCCAAAGTACTCATTAGGTTAAAATAAAATGCTTCCGGCAAGCCAATTGTAGGATAGGGCATTGATTACAGAGAAAGTGCAACAGCTCTGAGCTTCATATCCATACGCAGCATACTAAAGGGGGATTTATTCTATAAAATATAGCTTAAGTATATAAACCTGATGGAAGTTAAAAAAAAAAAAAAAAGACCCACACACATCTAACTAGAATCATCTTTTTTCTTTTTTTCCTTTTTTGAGATCCTGCAAAGGAGAGGGGTAGGGAGCAGAAGAAGAAGGGGGGGGGCAGCTCCCAAATCACCTTTCAGAGTTTTGCCACCAAGTACAGTTGGTTCTTTTCTAAAATCCAGAGAGCGCTTTAAAAGATTAAAACTACACTACAGGAAAGATTCCCTACCTTTTATTTCTTACTGGTATAAAATCAAATTTGTAAGACTCCAAAATATTGTGTTACCTCCAAAGAATTATGTTAAAAAAGATCGCCATAGTAGGAAAAGTTGTAAACTGCCAAATATAAAAGCGTGGAAAGTCATCAATCTCCGACCTTATTTTCTTACCCATCAGAAAGCGTTCCTGACTTGAGAGAGCACGGGCTGCAGCAGAATGCGCATCTTCCCCACCTCCAGCCTGGCCTCCAGACAGCCGCGAGCTTGCCCCGCCTCTGCCCGTGCTGCCTAGCACGGTCACCACTCACACCAGGAGATGGAATCGACAACCGTCCATTTGCTGCTTACGAAAGAAAGTCTTATAGAAAACATGCCAGAGAAAGAGGGAGACGAACAGCTGAAAAAGCAGAGACACAGTACTTGGGGTATCTTTTTGTGAGGGTCGCCCCTCTGATAACACAGAAATGAAGCGATAGCTATGAATTCATGCATAAAAGAGCTGGGGTGTGTTATGTGTGAAGTCTGCTCTTGCACACATTTCCCCCTCCTTTTCCCAAGAGGGTAGGTGGGGATCCCAATACACTAGAGCAGTTGGGTGGGAGACTTGCACGGCCAGTTGGGCCCCCCACTTGCAAGAGAAAATGACTATTCTGAATTTCAAAAATGCATTAGGGTTAACATAAAAGGCACAAAATAAATTAAAAACATATTAAAGAAACGGAAATGATGATTTCAAGTTTCATGTGGAGTTAGTTATGTCCCACTGTTTGGTTACTTTTTCCAATTTAATTTGACAGACTTAGTAAATAGCACCCAACTGTTTTAACTGAGGTAGATCCACATTGTAAAGAAGCTGGGTCCCCTCCATTTTCTCTCGAGATTGAAGATGCTTTTACAGAAACAAAAATCTGTTGTAACCGATGCAGAAGCAATGACAGGCGGCAGTGACTGCAGAGAGCTTGGCCTAGGAGCAGGCTGCTGAAACCCATGTCCCAAGCACCCAAGCATGCTCCCGGAAACAGTGGGTCCTCTCAGACCAGAGGTGAGAAATCACACCTTTGAAGATCACCTGGCTAAGGTCTCTAGGCAGACTGCCACAGAAATGCACATGATCTGTTGCCATCAAGCCACATAGAAGAGCGCAGGTGAGGGGGAGAAGTGTAACCTTGGCAATGGCCTTTTTTTTTTTTTTTTTTTTTTTTTTTTTTTAACTCCAGAGGGAACACGTGCTGAGTTAGGATTGAACATCTTGATCTGGACAGTTGAAATTTACTCTGCCTTTTTTTTTTTTTTTGCATATTCTGAAATGCACAAATTCACTATTTGATTAAGGCTTAATTTAAAGTGACATGACTACTGGTATTACGCAAAGCCTGGGCATCCTGACGAGCCACAGACTGGTATCAAAACCGAAGACAATGACATGAAGCCTCAGAATTGGGTTTAGCAGGTACTATAATTTTATAATTAATTATACAATCCATGTAGCAAATGAAAAATTATACAGAGGGGCCAAGGGTTATAAATAAGTTTACACAGGAACTGTCAATTTACAAAACAGCACTGCGTGGTTTCTAAACCGCAAGCACAAGACGTTGTCACACAGATGCACTGTACAGGCACAAACATGTCCATGACATACAGAGTACCACCTGAACCAGGCCCTTGTAGCCACTCCACTTCTCAAAGTAGCAGACGTTAAATGGATGCAATACATTTTGATTCAAAATGTCTTCTAGAAACATTTGAGTGGGGAGAACTTAAGTCTGGGCGAGGAGCCACCGGGGAACTTCTGAATTCATTTTTGGTTCTTTTTCAATTATTTTACAAAAATAAAGTAAAACTAGAAAAATTGATAAAACCAAGGGTTAAAACCCCTCAATAAATATTAGGCAGATAATCTGAAGTAAGCGGAGGTAAGCGTCTGGAGTCGGGGCTATGTTCTCTCCCTGTATCTATGAGGCAGTAGCCACTGTTGCACGGAAACTTACAATTATTCTCTTACAACTTTTTTTAAAATAAAAACTCACGTGCCCCTACAATTTCTAAAACATGAATTCATAACAACTACACTGAAATTCCTTCTCAAACTCAAGACTCAAATTTTAATTTAATGCTGAATTATACCCTTTTGGAGAGTAATCACACAGGTCTATTTGGCTTTGAAGAGGAACCAAAATTGTTAATGTGTCATCCCTCCAGAGCCACCGCACAGGCAAAGGCCTTTTCTAGGCAATTAAAAAACACAAGGCTGGACTGGACTACTTCTCCTGTTAAAAAGCAATCCCTTGAGACAGGGAGGGAGGTTTTAATTAGACTCTGCTAGGAAACTGCATCACCCCTGGCTTGGGAAGGTCAGAGATAAAAATTACACCACAGGCATGTCAAAGCTGGAGTCCTATGTTTTCGGTTTAAGTGACAGACAATCACATCTAAGTGAGCAGTTCCCCTCCCCCCACCCCCAGTCACAGAACAGTAACAACAATGAAGAAGCATTCCAAAACATTAGGACCAAATAGCACCTTACACTTGAGGATTCACAAACACATGATTCCAATTCCCTCCCTCTAACCCTACTTCCACTACGACAGACAGTCTTGCTGAGGTGTGGAGAGTGCGAGGCCAGTAAGGAGGCTGGGCTGGAACCCTGACCAAGTAATGGTCTTCCACCTGTCTCCTGAAACCCCAGCAGAGGTGCACCTGCATGCCAGGGCACAAAGAACAAGAGGGGACCGAGAGTGTCTCCACAGCTGCAGGCTGCGGGGTGGCTTCAGTTTGCGAGTCGCTGAGGACTGACGGAGCTTCCTAGGCGGAGTCCACTACAGACCAGCCTCAGCACGACTCTGAAAGAACACCAAGAAAGGTGCAAGGTGTGGGACCAGGTGTCCCAAGACAGTGAAGCCAGAGCCTGGAGGGAGGGTTGAGGCCACCTGCTGTGCAGGATGGAGGGCCCAACCTTGATTGGCCATTACAACCAGTGGATTTCCCAAGAGCCTCTGTCCCCACACATGTACCTCACTGACATTAGGGAGCTTGAAGATGAAGAAAGAACTGAATGAGGAGGGTCTATATACTAACTTCCTGGTGACACACGTAAGAGGATGGTGCCTGTGCCTTACCTCTAAATGAACTCAAATAAAGGCAGCTCTAAGCAAAACAGGAGCTCATTCGGGATTTTAGCCCTCAGGAACACAGGGACCAGAACTGCCAGAGCATTAGAAGGTTTCACACCGTGCTCTCACTTCAACCAGTTTAAAAAAAAAAAAAAAAGTGTTAGCTCAACACTGCAGTGGCCAGCGCTCTGGGCTGTTATCTCTCGCAGTGTCATGAGTGGAAAGGCTGGCTGCCTCTGTGCTAGTGCCCTCTGAGGGCTGTGGCTCATACCACCGCACCTGGGTGTGACCCTAAGCAGAACATGTCTAGCACCCCGTGTCTTCCTGGATTCTCACCGAACACCGGTGGCACTCCCCGACACAATGCAACAGAAAGGGGAGGGGGGCACAAAGACATTAGAAAAAGCGTTCCCTAATACCCAGGCACGTGCCTTCATGACACTGTCCACCTGTCCCTCAAGATTTCCTAAGACAACTAATGAAGGAACCTGGGGGCTTATGCTGACTTTCCAAAATTAAGCTCAAGGAAACATTAGGGGGAGAGGGGCCAAGGTAGAGCCACGAGGTAAGAGGATGACCTTCTGGGCAGCAGAGTGGACAACTGCTAGAGAGCTAGGTCAGACAAACCGGCAAGTGATCCCTGCCCTGCCCACACTAGTGGGAGCTTCTACTCTAGTACAGCCCATTGCTCCTTCCAAACAGAAGGCTTGACGTCAGAGCACAATGCTCTCAGTCCTTCACTTCCACACAGGGTCCCAAGGTCAGCCAGGCCCACGCGATCTGGATCCATGCAACTGCGTAAGCACGATATCTGCACGAGAGTCGGTGTTGAAGCACCTTTATGAGTGTGTAGTGTATAAAAAGGGAGGCGAGAGCGGGGGGGGCCACTTCCAACCCATTGGTAAGCAAGCAGGGGCAAAGATGCCTTCTTACATTAGATAGAAAAGCAAAACCAGGCAGGGACAGGCTATCTCCAGGCTCGGCCACCGGCGGCCCTGCCAGTCACTCCCACCAGCCTGGAGGATGCACGTTCTCCGTGCACAGAAGCCCTTCTGCCAGCCTCTCGGGTGCTAGAATCCTGTAGCTGGGCGGTACTGAGGAGCCCCCGGTCAGCGACAGCAGGAGGGCGCCGCCCCAGATCACAGTATGGCACACACGTTTTCAAGCCAGACCTGAACAAGGAGTTCACAACTTAGTTTACTCAGGTGATTAATTTGGCTATAATCAGTGTGGATAGCGATGCTTCAGAGCAAACACAAATCTATGAGAAGTCAGAGGTAGCTTTTATGCATCTGTCTAAAAGGTTTTTTAGAAACCACCTTCTGTAGTGATTTGGCTAAGCCGATACATTCAACTTGAGACAATAAAATGGCTGAACAAATCCAAAGACACAAAGTGAGGGGTCTGCAATGGCACTGACAACACACACACACACACACACACACACACACACACACACACACACACACACGGCGGTTGAGTGTAAAAGCTCCTTTTGTTTCAGACGCTGGTACCTTGACCAGACAGTTCATGTGGGGCTGAACCCAGCAGGGTCCCGAGGCATGAGGGGCTGTGCCAGGCTTCAGGTCGCCCTGCCATCCATGGATGTACCACCAATGACAGCCTGGCACAACAGTAACCTCACAGCTGGCCAAAGAAATGCAGCAACGGCCTGTTAACACTGGCTGGGCTATTCCTATCCCATCCACGCTGACAAAGGCCACATGGAACTCGAATGGCATATTGTGGGGGGCCTTGCAGATCACAACTAAACAGGCCAAAGTGTCACAAAGACGCCTAACTAATTCATTTACATTTAAGCCTTCAGGTCTCAAAGAGCCTGCCGTCCCATACAGAGGCAGAGCACTTCTTGTCAGAGAGCGAGACAAGGCTAGCCCATGATGCTTGAGAAAACAGAGCCCAGTCTGCACTCTAGCATATAATACTGAAATGTGTATGGGGGTCACAGAAGTGAGGCAATGTCCCACACATCCACACCATTCTTGCCACTGTCAATCTGTTTACAATCACTTTAGATGAGTACAGCAGCTATGGAGTTGGACGCAATAAAGAAAACTGTCGCCAGATCAGTGCAACTTACAGGAGTCAGCATGCCTGCAACACGGCCCTAGCGACAGAGTGACAGGTGCTGTTTCCAGTGAGCCAGCCAGCATGGTTACTTCAGGGAAGGGCTTACAACATAAACAAAAGGTCTGCATTCACAAGGGAGGCATATGAGCGCCAAGGGAGGGTAACTTCTACTCGGGGCACATTCCTTTTCTCCTGGGCGTGAAAGACGAGTCAGGGAGAGGTCACAGCAAGGTTGCTTATGGCTTGTCTGGGGCCACTGGGATTGTCCACTGCCTGTGTAGCAAAATGCCCATGAAAAATCCTTGCAACAATCCAAGAGGTCAGGGCCATGCCAAAGGACCCTGAAGGTTCTTGTGACCAGCCAGTGCTACCACCACAGGGACTACCGAGAGAGGCCACCCAGCCCTAAGGCCTCCTGGACACTCAGGGGTCCCAGCTGCGTGACCCGGGACTGATCTACCCTTAACACATTGTATCAAATATAGAATTTGACTGAAAAACTGCTTGTAAAAATAAAATTCAAATCACCCTGCAGATCAATGCAAAAGCATACCGCTGCATCTATAAGAAAAACAATTCATCCAGAAAAACTACATCTGTGGCTTCCAAAAATAAAGCATTCGCAAGCCTGAAGGTAAACATTGGGTCATTTATAAAAGTTGGGGGAAATAATCTCTACCATATCCATCAGGTACCACGTGCATTGGGATAACCAACTCAGCTGGATCAAACCAGAGCAGGAGAGGAAAATAAATAGCAACATGTGCATTTAAAAACAATAAAATAACATATAACAACAACAAAAAACCCCGCCCAACCCCACTGCAGGGGCTGTCTATCAAGCGCTCAGTTATCAGGTAAACATCAGAAATACAGATGTTGGGCCAGCTGCAGACAGCACGGAGCTAGCGGTCTCTCCCCACTGGCAGTGCCCTGTGGCCTGGAGGCCAGCAAGCGGGTGAGTGTGAGGAGTTGCCAAGAGGCCAAATCTGGAGAAGGCAGAGCAGACCCAAAGTGGTATCAAGTGTGCACGTGAGGACTTCCCAACAGGAGAACAAAGCCAAAACCAAACAGCCCCTCTCTAAACGTCCTGGTGCGCTCAGCTTCAGAGTCAATGGGAATTAGGACAATCTGGGCTTATCCACACGCAGTGACAGGATGGGAGTTTTGCTAATATTCCTAAGGGCTAATCTACAGAACGGGGCCTCAGTGTCTCCCCTAGAGTTTCAAGCTGCTTCATCAGCATGCTGTACACAGTGATAAAGGACATCAGGACTGGTTTTTAAGAGTGAGTATCTTACAATGTTCTAGGAAGAGTCCCAGCATGAGTGTCTACTTGGGTAGCCTCCCTTAAAGAGACAGGCACGTCCTAGTTTTCCTTCCAAATGGATACAGAGCACAACATAATCACATTCAGTTTGCTTAAAGCAAGGCACACCTTACTTACAGTGGGGTTGGGAACACAGCTAGCAAGTGGGCAGTCCTCAAACTTGGCCAGGTATCACCTCAGGGGATAATGGCGCCTGTCGCCAGTCTTGGGTACAGGCACAGACAGAAGGCTGGCTCCCTCGGAAGAGGGCCCGATTTTCTACCACACTCTGAGGTCTCACACTGTCTCAAAACTTATGCTAATAATAAGGGGAGGGCAGAAATTGGGGAAAACAATTATTTACCTGAGAAATTGCAACTATAGCCATTTATAAGTTCCACACCATCGGACATGCCGACGCTGCGCATCTAACACAATCAGGGACATTTGGTCTGGGGATGCTTTTCATATTAAAAGTGTCACAAGTAAGCATGGGCTATAGAAAGTACTTTTCTCCAAGTACTTTTGGCCCATCAAAAAGAAAACTTGTCCTTCAAGATGATCGAAACAAAACAAAACAAAACAAAAACCCAAAACTCGCAGCTCAGATTTTTTTTCCCAGCCCACAGTGTTCCGAGGTGTGAGCTCTGACAGGGATCTTTCCTGCTCCCCTGGCATCATTGGGGGAGGACCTCAGAAAGCCTCCAGAGTCACAGGGGCAGGGGAGGCGTTCGTGGGAAGGGGGTGGCCCTCAAACACAGATGCCAGCTGTCTGCTGTGCCAGGTCCAAGAGGCTAGCAAGCAGGCCTGAGATTCTAACAAATGCAAGCAGGCCTGCATTCTAACAAACCCACTAGCATGACTGAGATCCCATGGCAAAAGGCTAAAGACATACCCTAGACACACATGGTTTTAAGAGTAGCTGAAAGCAATCTAATTTCAGATTCTAAAAGTCTACCAGGTGCCACTTCTTCAGCCTGACCATGCTAGGTGAGCTAAAGAGTGTTTTTATACCCTTTTGGAAACAGTTCGAGAAAGTGCCACTTGCCAATGGGATAGCAGGCAGCCCCAGTACTTCTTCGACTGGAGGTTTGTCACTTTAAAAGACTTCTAAAGACACAGCAAGAAGAGACTAATGTCATTAGTAAGACACCCACATGCACACACAGATACACCCACCGAGGGCGCGGTTTCCCAGGTCACTGCGTCTGCCCTTCCCACCAGCTCCAGTGCAGGTGGGTAATCAATAGGGCAGCAATGGTACTGTGTCCTCTAGCATGAGGCGCCACGGAGGGGGAAGGGGTGGGCGCCTCTCTCCACCTCAGGGTCAGAGGTAAATCACGCAGAGCTTGGGGAAGAGGACCATCAGCAGGGATAGAGAAAACCCACAGAACACAGAGCAGCACAGAGAAGGCTTGTCTCCTTCCGGGAACTTGTACATGGAGAGGATCTGGTTCTCACTCAGCTTCAGTACAAGCACAAAAAGCCCCACAGGACACACACGTTGAAGTGGCTGCTGCCACGCGCAGAAGCACTTGTAGTGTCCCTTTCAGTTCAAGGGTCTCTAGGCTGGCAAACCCACGTTGGGGCCCAGGAGCAAACACCACCCAGTCTGTGCCTCCTGTGCCAGCCTTGCCCATCACCAGCTCCTCGGGCACCCTCTGTTCCTACCTGCCAGTCTCATGCCAGCAGAGCCGCCAACGGCAGCTCTCTCCATTTCAGTGCATGTAGCTCCTGTGAAACCCACCTTCCGAAACTGCACGCGGAGAGGAGTGCACTCTTACGTGGACTTGTTTCCCAGCAATGGAAGAATAAATAAATTCCATTTGTGCTTCATCGGCTGAGCGACACACATGGATGAGGCAGGGGAGGACGGCAAATTACTGGCAAGCACACTGTCCTTCCCGGAAGTACAGGCCACACAGTCCACACTGGGGAGGGAGAGGAGAAGGAGGGGTGCATCGCTGTCACGTGAAGCCAGTTGCATATTCCTCTACTTAAGCACTAAAAGCCACAAGAGGTGGCCTGTCGCCAGGCTCCAAACATTTCACAAGAAGCACCCCATAGTCAACAAAAGGGAAAAAGCATCTACCTACCACATTAATACTGCAAACCAGATATATATATATTCTTCTCTTACATTAAAGACATAACAGTGAAAAAGGATTGTACTGTATTTATCACCACAGACCCGTATTCTTTAGAAACTTTGGAAAATAAATGTCACAGTCCTACAGGACACATCTTATGATTACACTGTCAGTATATTGTCTTTTTTTCTCTTTTTAAATAAATTTTTATCAAAATGGCACTTGTCTGCCAATCTCTCGGACAAGTCACTGCTGTAAACACACGTGACCGTCCCCTCTGCCACTACACCTCTGTTCAGGCCTCGAGGGCAGGCGTGGCAGGGAGAGACATCGTGCATACCTAGCAGCCTCTGCCCAGGGGCTGCAAAGCATGCGGGCCTCCCTTAGAACTCAACATTAGTGACAACTTCTTAGGGCCAGGCTTTAAAACCCCAATGGTGATGCATTCATGCTCAGAGCCTTCACAACTAGATTGAGCCCATCGATTTCATTGAGAATCAGCTGTTTTAAAAACACGTAAATCGAATGACCAAATAAATTAAAATGTTTTAAAGCCCTGAGAGTTCATAGACTGGTTTTAGGACATTTTGTTGTTTTTTGTTTTTAGGAAACGGGACTCTCAGTGAGCAGCTTATGGGTTTGGCAAACCACGTTTCCTACAGTGGGGTCTCATACAGGCCTGCAGCTCAAAATCCAAGTCTGAAATCTGGGACGGAAGGCATTCTGGAAAATGGAGGATCTAATAAAACCAAAGACGTCTCATGTTCGATGCTGGCTGTCACGGAAGGGCTGGGCATCTGTTGGTCTGAGTGTAGCTGGTCTCGTGTGAATCCAACTTGGTACACAATCGCTAAACACTACAACACGTCAAGCAAAGTACATGGTACGCAGTGTGTCCTGGTGGACCTGGACCGCCTTCGCCAGTGCTTGGTGATCTCGCCCATTGCTCTGCCCAGAGGTATGGCTTCCTTCGGCGCTGCAGGGATGTGGGGGAGAAGAGAAAGAATGCAGTCTTGACTGGAGGAACTTGAACCAGGCACGAGCATGGAGAGCAGTCGTCAGAGCCCATGAGCCGCCAGCCTTGTCTTAACCCCCTTCCAGGTGTGACACTTACCTGTCGTGTTCTTTATCCACCAGGTGGTACCTGGCACGGAAGGCCACCAGGTGAGCATAGTAGGCCGGTGCCGGTATTGACACAGAGCGTGTGCAGCGTACATAGGTGTGACACAGCTGGTAGGTCAGAATCTGCAGCTCGTCAGAAGAAAAACGATTGTCATCCCAAAGCACGTGGTAGTGGGAAGGACGGCTTGTCCCCTGAAAGAGGTGGGAGGGACAGAAAGACTCACCATGAGGCCTTGCCAGAACAGCAATAAGTGTTTCCATTAAGACAGACATGGTGGCACATGCCTGTGATCCCAGCACTTTTGAGGAATGAAGAAAGGATTCAAATTTGAAGCCATCCTTGGTAAAACACCCTGTCCTCAATCCCCCAAACCATCTACTCTTAAAAGCCCCATATCTGTAAAACAGATTATACATTTATTTACATACAGGAAAGTCACAACCAAGACATTTCTGCCTCCCTCCAAACAGGCCTTGCAGGCTTAGTCTAGGCTGACCTGGGACACAGTCCCCCTGCCTCAGCATCCTAGGTCTCCAGGCCCAGCTTACAGAGTGATAGTAAATATGACCGTGACTGAAGATAGCCAGCAGAGAGGATATTTGATGTTACTAATACAGAGAACTGATCAAGGTCTGAGGTGACTGATGGGAATGAGGGGGGCCCCATCCTATCATCATAGACCTCATATATGTGTTAAAATATCATATTACACACCACCTCCATAAATGCGCATTTCATGTGAAAAGAAAAAAAAAAGAAAAGAAAAAGAACATTTTAGAAGGAGCTGAGCCAAAAGACAATGCCTTCTAGGTATTCTACAGTATTTTATTTATAATACCAAGAAAAAACTTTGATCAAAGCTTTATGTTAATATTAACATTCAAAAAATGGGAGTTGGACTGGAGAGATGGCTCAGAGGTTATGGGCACTGAGTGCTCTTCCAGAGGACCTGAGTTCAATTCCCAGCAAACACATGGTGGCTCACAACCATCTACAGTGAGATCTGGAGCCCTCTCCTGGAGTGCAGGTGTACATGCAGACAAAACATTGTATACATAATAAATATTTTAAAAAAATAAAAAGTTGGGGTTGAGAATATTTGATGCACTTTTCCCTCCAAAGTCTTCTGCAAGGGAAGAGCAGGACTCACGCAGCAGAAACACTGGTGGCTCCTCCCTGCCTACCTGCTACTACTCTTCAAAGACCTCGCTCTAACACCGGCAAGATGGCAGAATGCTGCTACAGAGCACTCCAGGACTTGTTTGTCCTGACATTTTCTCGGTAGCCAGCATGAACACGAGTTCCCACCAGGCTCCAACAACAGTAGCTTCCTGGAGTCTCACCTTTTTTAAGCTCACTGGCTGCCAGCACCTGGCCTTGACCGCCTCCTCACATTCCTTACATCTTGGTCTCACTATACCTACTTCTACACAGGTCCCTTCTACCTCTTGATTCCCAGTGTCTGACCCAGAAAGTCTTCTGGTCCCCAGGCAAGTGCCCAACTCTCCTGGCCACAATACGCCCCAAATTCATGAGATCACCACAAACATCCCAGACCATCAAAAGGGAGCCTCCCTTCTTACCTGGATGCCGGCATGACTGCACAGGTAGAAGTCAAACTCAGTTGGGTGGGTGATTTTCGTGTCTACGGTTGTGCCTGCTGGAATGTTCCCACTCTTTCCAACCTGTGGCGACACAGAGAGCTCATCAGGTGTGGCAGGATGGGTAGGCAGAGCCAGCAAGAGTGCAGGAGCACCAGCTCCTCAGCACACAAATCTGTTAAGTACCAATGATCTCCACAGCTTCACTTGGGCCGGGCTTATGGTTCACATTGCATCTAGGTGCTGCAGGTGAGCACAGTCTGTCTACTGAAGGATCTGCCTGAATAGGCTCCAAGAGAACAGGCTAGGCTCTATGAGGCTGAGGGTGAAACCAACTCCAGATTTTCCACCTCCACCTCCCAAGTGCTGAAAGTGAATTGTAAACCACCATGCTCACCTTAAAATATTTCAATTAGAGAGAGAGAGAAAGAGAGGCAGGCTCTCCCCTGGCAGTGGTAACATTTTACTTTTCTTGCTGGCATAAGCCAGGCCATAAAATCCTTCTGTTACTTATTTATAGTCAAGAGCTCACATTGTAGTTCATTGGACTAGAACTCACTGAGTATTGCAGACTGGACTCAACTCATGACAATTCTCTCAAGTGTTGGGATAACAGGCATGTGTCAAAGTGCCCAGCTAAGCAATTCCTATACACAATCCCCTAGAACACTCAGGTTATTTCCTGTTTTGCCAGGATAGGCACAAAGAACCGTCAGTTTTGTGTTCCAAGCTGGTCATGGATCTGTACTCAACACAGCAGGGACTGGGTGCCACATCCTTAGTCTTATCCTTGTGGGCAGGGCCAGGGAGACGGACGGAGACACAACAACTCATGGTCAAGTGGTTGGGGTGTGGACAAGCAGGTCTGGCTTTGAGCCAGGCTGTTTGGCTGTAGACCCTCTGTCCTGGCTCTTAGTGTCACTTGCCTGCATCTGTCCCACACTCAGTGTTATGAAGTGGGTTAATAACTCCTTTCTAAAACAGCACAAGTTTTTTTGTTTGTTTGTTTGTTTGTTTGTCTGCCTGCTTTTCAAGAAAGGCCTCTGTTCTATATCCTAGGCTAGCCCCAAACTTGTGACTCTCCTGCCTCAGACTCCCAGAAGCTGGGACTTGCAGACCTGTGACATCATGCCAAGCTTACAAAACATTACTCCTTGAAATTTGCCTGCAAACTAAACTCAATAAAATAACTATATAACTAGGAAACTGGAGAGGTGGACCAATGGTTAAGAGCACTTGATGCTCTTGCAGAAGACTGGTTTGGCTTCCAGACTCACATGTTGGCTCACAACCATCCATAACTCTGCTTTCAGAGGACCTGATGCCCTCTTCTGACCCCCATGAGCAGTACATGAGCATGGGCACAGACACAAATAAAATAATCACATTAAAAGTACCTGTCTGAATCTATTATTCTTCTCTGTCACATTGTGTCAGGTTCACAGCTGACAGTCTGTGTGGGAAACCTGCCTGTAAACCTTTCTAGGCTCTGAGACTTCTAGCATGGGTGGCTTTTTAAAAAAATAAAAAAAGTGTTTGGAGTCAGGCATGGTGGTACATGCCTTTAATCCCAGAAGATACAGGTGTACCTTTTTGAGTTCGAGGCCAGCCTGGTCTACAAAGTGAGTCTAGGACAGCCAGGGCTCTGTTACACAAAGAAACCCTGTCTCAAAAAATTAAGCTAAGTTTGGGCTTAGCTCCAGAGGTGATTTCATAAATGTACCATAAACATTTTGTGGTGCATTTCACTGGCTCAGTGTCCCTATCTGCAGAAACTGGTATTGCCAGTCTCCTCTGCTTTCCTGGAGGGCATCCTCTCCCTCCTTCCGGACATCCAAGAAAGCAGATTTACACCCTGTCCTCACTGCTTCCTCATTATTGTCCTTTGTAGGGAGGGAGGCTGCCTCTAGGAGTAGTGCCCCTGGCAACAGAGCCATGGAATCTGCAAGCGAACAGACACCCAGCTGCAGGCACTGCAGCCTCCCTTCATGGTCTGCAGGGCCGTTTCTTATTTTATAATAAATGCACCCAAGTCTCCAGGCTGAGCTGATCTGGTATGAAACCATTTGGTTTTATGCGGCTGTGAGTGCTCTGTAGTTTCTGTTTGTTGTATCTTTAATGCATGAGCTGCGGGCAGCGAAGTGAAAGTGTCAGGCATTCTTAAACTTCATTTGCATAATGATCAAAACATATGGTTTCTACACAATCAAGGTTTGGAAACCACCCGAGACTTCCTTGTCCTCCCATGTGAATCTGGTACCTGCAGCTCTGCTTACCCCTCCCATTCTCTGTTCCCACTCATTCTTGCCTGTTTCAGGTTCTGGCAGTGGTTACAACAGCCACCTGTGACACTGTACTTGTCAATTTCCCCTTGAAATTCTGTAAGCTTTTCATGCCCCTTCCCCCCAGCTCCCCGCTTTACATATTTTAGGGCAGAGCACTAGGGGCAGTGGAGACAACAGCTTCAGTACTTTCCTGGTAAGTGCCTCCTTTCATTGTGGCAAGGTATACCTCAGTCTCTCCACCAACACCGATAAACCAACGCTGGCTACCCTGGAGGCCACGGGGCAGAGAAGACCTGCAATGACTATCTTGCAACAGTGTGGTGATCCCCGGCCTTACAGGACCCACAACGCTGGATTCAAGGTCTGGTAGACACCCCGAGGCCTTTCCCTTATGGACAACCTATGTCTCCCAGACAGCAGCTGCCCTTATAGACAGCTGTGGGCCTTATTGTGCTGTTAGAAGCGCAGAAAACATTTTTCTGGGTCTTGGAAGCTGGCTCAACCAGTAAGCCTGATTTTAATCCATAGAATGCACATAAAAGTGTCAAGGGTGGTGGTGCACTCTTGCAATCCCAGTGTTGGAAAAGCAGAAACAAGATTTCTGGGGCTTGCTGGCCACCCAGCCTATCCTAAGGCTGACACTTCAGGCTTGTCACCTGGCGTCTGCATGAACACACACATACATGCTGACAAACACACATGCATCCATCTAAGAAAGTAAAAGGCAGCTTCTCTTTCTCTCTGTCTCTCTCTCTCCAGAAGGAAGGCTTGAGCTACATAAGCTCCCCCAAAGCCAGAGGTAGCTTCTGCTGGAGCTCGGGTGGCTCCAACCTCTCACACTGCCTGACTGTCGGGTCCACGGCTCTAAACGGCTGATTTCTCTCAATTCCCTGCTCCGCCCATTTTTACTCCTTCCTTCCTTTCTTTTTGAGACAGGGGCTTGTACTTGTTCTGTAGCCAAGGCTAACCTACATTCTCGAAGCTGCTCTGCCTGCCTCGTGGTGCTAGAGTACAGTTTATTCAAAGATGGGGCTAAAACATAGGTCTTCATGCATGTTAGGTAAGCCTTCTGCCAACTAAGCCAAATCCCAGCCCCACTGCCATTGAGTTCAAACAGTTTTTGTTCTGAACCACCTCTCTCTCATTTATCAGATAAATGACAATTCATGTCTGGCTCTTCCTCAACAAAGCCAGAGGGGGCTTGCGAGACACCTGAGCCTGGGTCCCCATGAAGCGCCGCCTCTCACGACAGTCTCCCCAGACTGTGGCTGCCCGAGGGCTATGACTCACCCGCTCGTTCTTGTCTGTGCAGAAGAGTCGAGTGTGGTGTCGCTTCTGCACCACGATGAACGTGATCCCTGGCTGATAGTCCTTCTCCAGCTTGATGCAGGCCTCTCGGATGGCCAGCAGCTCATGGTGGAGGACCTGCAGGGCAGAGGCGGGCGTCAGAGGCCTTGCTTTACAGGCATCTTGCAGACTGGGAAGAGCTTTTCCAGTCTGGCCAGCACTGGGTCAGGCACGCCACAATGCCTTCTGCCAGTTGGCCTAGTTTCATTGTGTTGCGGTGGTAAAGACTGACCGAAAGGGTTTATCCAGCTCACACTTCCAGACCACAGCCCATCACTGAGGAAAGGAAGGGCAGGAACCCAACAGAAAACACAGAAGAACATTATTTTTGCTGGCTTGCTCAGCTGCCTACCTTTCTTACTTTCATTTTTGTTTATTCCGACTGGCCTGTAAATCACTATGTAGCCATGGCTGGCCTTAAATTCACAGATATCTACCTGCTTCTGCCTCCCCAGGACTAGGATTAAAGGCCTGCACCAATACACCCACCTCAGCTAGCTTTGCCATATAGCCCAGGCCCACCTCTCAAGGGATGGTGCTGCCCAGAGCAAACTGAGCCCTCCTACATCAAACAGAAATAGGAAAGTGTCCCACAGACACGTTTTCTATGGTTAAAATTATGAAGTACACAAAGCTGCTTAGCTTGGAATCCATAACGTTCCCAGTGCTCATAAAACAGCACTATGAAGACTTATTGGCATGGACAGCAGAGCTGTTTGCTACTGGCTTGCTGACTGACAGGACAGGAAAGACAAATGGGGCAGATGCTGGCTCCTGTCTGAGCTCAGCCATCACAGGGCACTCAGCAACCCTCATCCCTTCCACCTGTCAACTGTGGGGCCTGCCCTGACAGTCTCATGTGAAGACTTTGGTGCCTAAGGACCAGGAATAGTGGACTTTGGTTGTGTCAAGACAGTGTTTCCCTAACTCTGCCTCCTGAGTGCTAGGATTGGAGGTGTGTGCTACAATGCCTGACCCCCCTCAGATTTAACGGCCTGAGCCAAACAGTTTACAATGTTTCAAAACGTATTTCTAGAATTCCAGTGCAACAATTTAGTTGAAGGGATTTCTGGTATTCTCTGCAGGGTGGAGCTGGCAAGGTTAAATCCAACCTCAAGGGAGGAGTACTAGACAGATTGGGAACCCAGGAGGTTCTGAGACAGGGCTCCAGCTCATGGGAGAACTGTGGAAGCTGTCACCAAGGCTCTTACAGAATATAGCACTAGAGGCTTGACCAGAAAGAATCGAGGCAGATAGCCCCCCGGGGCCAGGAGGATTTGTTCTAAAGAGAAAAGGCTGCAGCTTCCGTCCTAAACAAGAAGGCAAATGTGCATGTACCGTGTCGCATGCCACCAGACTGCGAATAAGGGAAGCGCGTCAGATCTAAGAACAGCCCAGGACATACACCACAGTTCTAAGTCTGCTCTCATAGCCCCTGACTGAGCCTCTATCCACACTCACCCAGGTCTCTACTGCCCGAACTTACATCTGAAACTCCTCTTCATCCTTCCCCCATCATGAGCCCTGAAACCCACACGATACCCCTCCGCCCCATGATCTGTCTTCTAAACTATGACCAGCCAATGGACAAAAGCAGAGAAGACAGGGCAGTGTGGCCAACCTGCTGGAACTGGCCCTCGGAGACGCCATCTCGGTAGAAGATGATCCGGGTGGGCTTGAAGCGTGTAGACTTGTAGAACTGAATGAGCAGCTCCCGCACCATGGCAGCCAGGTCCTGGATGATCTCCTGGCGGTGCTGCTGCACGCGCACGGTGGCGCAGTAGCGGTTGGGGTGTGCGTCCATGCTGCCCACGACCTGTGGGGCACACAGTCAGCAGGCGGCCAGGCCTCCAGTGGTCCCTCTTCTGGGGGCCAGCTGGAGACTGGCCTGTGGAGAAGCATCTTCCCACAGCGGTCCTCAAAGCAGAACGTTCTCCTAAGCACCTTCTAAAAACGGGACCCTTGCCCCATGGAACACAAGAAAAGGCAAAACTGAGTCTATATGGTGGTTGAATTATCTGTGCAAAGAAAGCAGTTGAGGGTGCCTCTAGTTTTTCAAGAGCAAACACTTCTCCCAAGTGTCACATGCACATCAAAAACTCAGCATGGCCAGACTTTGGTCCCTAGGAAGGTCACAGCTCTGATTGAGGGGTCACGGAAAGGAGCAAACCAGAGAGCCAGAGCAGAAACCATGATGCTTCCAGGGTTCTGGGGTCAGAGGGCAAAAGGCACACCACCCAGCTACAGCTAGGCCCTGCACATTCTGGGCTGGGGAAAACACTTCCTTATACCGTCAAGCATAAAGGAAAGGGCCCTGTGTGTCTGGGTAGCAGGTGACCTGTATCTCCCCTGAAAAGCTTACAGAGCAGCGTCTATAGGCTTCCCAGTCTCCTTGTTCTGGCTCTGCTTGGGGCTACAGATTCTCTCAAGCATAGTTTCCCTCTCACACCATGTGAAAAGAAAGACCCAGAACTATTTGGCATAACTAGAAATGTCAACGCCAACAGAAACCTCCTCCTATTGAGAGCTGTGCGCACCAGGGATAGAGAGATTCCTGCTCCTGAGAATTTGGTAAGCCTTGCTCCAATGCCTGCTCCTGTTTGTCAGCTCACCTACGTCTGGAATCAACTTAATCAAGCAGCTGGGTATGCCTGTGAGGGATTTTGTGGATTGGATCATCAGCGGTGGGAAGACCCACCCAAAATCTGAGCCACAACTTCCAGTGGCAGCCTTCTGCTTTTTGCCCGCTTGCCCAAACTCCTGTTGGCAAGTTTTGTCTACTTTGTTGCTATAGGCAGATTCCAACTCAGACTAAAGACCAGTAACTCTCCAGGAGTTCTGGACTCCAGCACCAAACTGGGACCACAGAGACATCCAGTCTTGTAGACTGAGCAGCTGATTATTGATTATTACTTGGCCTTTCTGTTTTAAGAGTACATCCTCCAATTATGTGTGTGCTATTCCTTTAGAGAATCCTGACTAATATGAATATACTTGCCTAAGCCTCCAAAGCCTACGCAGAGGACCTGAACACAGTGGTTGGGGGGGGAGGGGAGAAACAAACTAATGGTGAGCAAGTAGAGACCAAGGTGGCAAAAGGCCTGGGCCAGATCCCAAGCCATTTGGCTGTGTGGATCCTTTCTGACACTGGGGACGCTGACACCACCTGAAAGCCACACCTGATCGCTATGCACAGCACACTTGATGCAAAAGGGGGCTCCTTTGTCTGGAAGGTGGAATGGTGTCCCGTCCAATATCACATCCCATACCCTACTCTTTAAGACAAATTAAACAATGGCATTAAGCCTTGTTAGCACCAACCATAGCATGCCAGGCACTGAGCAAGGACCTCACATCCTTTCACAATCCTAAGTCTGACAACAGTACATGTGAAAAAGCCCAGAAAGATTGAGCTTAATTGCAGGAGAGAAACAGCAGAGATAAAAGCAGAGGCTTGAGGATGAGGCTCAGCCGGGTGTGAGGCTGCCGCCACCATGCTGGGTGAGGGGTGCTGGATCCCACTCTAACCAAGGCAGCACCCATATGCCGGCTGCTGTGCACAGGGCCTTTCAGCCCCATTCCCCAAGTGAGCATTTCTCTGAGGCACTGAAGGTGTAGGAAGGCATTTGAGGGGACAGGATCCGTTCAGACAAATGATCCAAAAGAACTGCTGTTTTCTTTCACACACGCAGCCACCCTGGCTCTAGAACTCTGTATTCTCTGACTAGAGAGGTGGTAAGAGGACAGACAGCCTTTGCACTCTGTACTCCAAAAGGCCAAAGCACACTTATTACAAATCCACAGCAGGCAGAGGGAGTGGTTGCTCAGTGGTCAGCCAAGGCCACCTCGAAGGGCCCAGAGGTAATGTTCCCCCCAGATGTGCCACAGACAGCAGGAAAGGTGGCAGCCCACACACCTGTGACCTCCTCAGTCATCCCCATCACCTATTTGCCATTAGATCATGATCAGACCAACCAAGCAGGTTATTAACCTTCATGTCTTTCTCCTTAGCACACCACTGCAAACAGACCAGACACTTGAGGGCCCGGGGTGTTCTGTTTTCTCCTCCACCCCGGCCCCACCCCAGCAACATAACAAGGACAGAGAAGGCAGAGGGAAGTGTGGACACTCACGGCAGCAATCGAAGGCTTCTTCCCATCACCAGCTGGTGGGTGGGTGACATCAGCTCCCAGAAAGATGACAGGTTGCTGGAACACTGGAGGCCTACAAGAAAGTGGGTGTTTGAGGCCCAGGCTTGGGACACTATCTATGTCTCTGGGAGGTAACCCTACCACTAACATGGGCAGTTTTAGAGAGATCTTCCTGCCCCCACCTCAATGAGTTCAGACAATATTCTGTGTGTGAGACCCTAGGTCGAGAGTAACACATCTCTATCTGAGGTGACATCACAGTTGTGCAAAGAGTCGGGCGCTCCAAGGGGAGGTTGTCTATTTCACACTGTCACCTCCCAATCAAAGTCAGGTACAGTGGAGAGCCACAAGGTGACCATGGCAGTTCCTCTGGACGTTCACCCAGCACCCACTCAGGACATAACCATGTAAGAACGGAAGCACTTCCTAAGTGTTCAGCATGTGTATCCATGTGCCCTTTCCAGGGAGAGGAGGGCACCTGTCCCCTCAATCTCCACTATGGTTCCAACTATCATCAGGGGACCTGAACCCAGCCTCAGACTTAGGGTGGCACTTCTAAGACACACAGATTATGGCACTGTAGTCTTGGTAACCAACTCAAGATGCCCGGGGGTCCCCTGGCCTCATTCTCCTCTGCTGGGAGGAAGGCAGGAGCTGGGTGGTATAACACAGATCCTGACAACTGCCCTGCCACCACCAGGGCCCCAGGTACAGCCGGGCAGCGGCTGTGGGTGGGTATGATTCACCTGCCACAGGCCAAGCCACACCTGCCCTCAGCTTTCTCTAATCTGCAGCTCAGCAGCGGTTCCTATGAGCCCAGCCTGCTGCCACCTCCCAGGCTCCTCTTAACTCTGTGCTGCCATGGCAACAAGATTCCTCTTTCAAGGTCTCCAGTGACATGGAGCGTCCCTGAGTCCAATGATTAGGCCACTCAGTGTGGCTCATTGGCATATTCTGATGCAAGACACACTTTCTTGGATGCCTCCCTTCCTTGCCTGCTCTTTCTATCTATTACCAGTGTCCCTGAACTTTACCCTGGGCACAGGGCTCAGATCTCCTTGCCATTCACTCAAGGGTGCTCATCCAGCCTCATGGCTCCTGCGCTCTGACAAGGGGCTTTCCTTACCACCTGATACAGGCCAGAGCCCCGCTCCCCAGCCTGAGCCACCCCTTTTCATGAGGGTCCTCTCTTTGACACTAACTAGACCAAGAGTGTGAGACAAGTCTTTCTTCCCCTTCAATCTAGTCCACCTATTTCCATCTCCAAAACAATCGGGGCTCCTCATCCTGCCTGTCCCTCACTTCAGCCTGGCATAGACTGGCACCAGAGGCTTCCCAAGTACACTTCACATGTAGCCACAATCAGTCGCCCAAAACACAGGCCTGCCCATCACTCCCATGGTCTTTATGGCAGTTTCCTCAAGTGAAGTTATTATTGTGGTCACTCTCTTCTTTTGCCTCCATCAGAGCCCACTGTCCTTGTCCTCTATCACCCAGGGTCACTCAGCCTCGGGAGGCAGATGAGGAAGAAGATGAGACAGTTCCACATCCACATCCCTTATCCCTATGGGGCATGCCGGCAGCCAGCACTTGGCATAGGAACAATAGCGGCTCCTACAGGGAACTTGCAGTCAAGTCCTCTGACCCTGGCAGTCGGCTACCAGCCTTGTGTGAGAAGAGTGGGAAATACAGAAGTCTGCATTGCAGCAACGCTCCAGAGACCACGTAACAAGAGTTTGGAGGCCCATTTCCTGACCCAGCTCCATCTCACTCCCTCTCACAACTCTTCAGGAGGTAGACTGCTGGTTCTGGCATAAGGAACGGGGTGGCGGTGAGCTCTACACTAGCCTTCAACGATCAGAGAGCCCAGCCACAACACTGCCTATCCCCTATGGCCCCGGTTCTCAGGGGCCTGGGACCTACGCCCACATGAACTAAATGTGAGCACTTCTCTAACGACCAGCTGGTCTGCGTGCCAGGTGTGGCCACCTCACCTGCCCTGGGGCAGCAGGATGTTGTTGACGCCTCCCAGTTTGACGTTGATCTTTAAGCAGAGGTTGGATAGGGTCTGTGGCGTGGTCCTCTGCACGTTCTTCATCTGGACACACTGTGTGGCCATCCCCAGCACGGTGTCTCCCACACGCTTGACTTCCGCTGCAGAGCAGAGGTGCACATGTCACAGCTCCTAAAGAGAAGCAGCTGTCTTCTGCCCTCTCTTGGACTGCACTGGTGTAGTGTTCAGCCACGGCAGCTGCACCAGGGCGCCTATGGAAGATGCTGGCAGATGGAGGGGCAGAGCTCCTGGCTGAAACCCGCTTTAAAACTGCCAGGCACCTGTGCCTGTCTCCCTCAGCATGGGAAGCTGGAGGTGCATCTCATACCACCCATTTGTAATCCAGGGCCCAGGGTGGGGTGAGCAGAATCTGGCTGTAACTGAAGCCTTGTCATTCCTCAGCAGAAATGACACCCCATGTTAAGCAAATGCCTAGGTAGCTAAAAATAAAATCAACGGCCTCCTCAAAACCTTTGGCAAACACAGAACAAACATCAAAGAGCCACAACGAACCACACTCCTCCATCCCCAGATTCCTTCCTGAAGCAGCTGGTCACTGTGCCCAGGGCTGCTCCTAGGGCTGGCTCCAGAAACCAGGACTCCAGGGGCAATACTCATTGAGTCCAAATACTTCTCTGAATTCGCAGGGGAGAAGCATGGGTCTGTAGTCTGTCTAGGGCCAGAGAGGACAGACCTCCACTCGTAACAACCACCAAGAAGCCCAGACCCCGCCCCCCTCAGGCTCAGGAATGGACAAGAGCCAATCATTTCATTCAGTAAACACCAAGGGGAACAGGCAACCCACACCCACTGGAAGCCCCTCAACTCCCTAAAGGCTGCAGACAGCGGCCACCTACCATACACAGGAGTTTTGCCAGGCAGGATGACCACCACCAGCTGCAGGCCGGCATATGTGTTCTTCAGGTGACGGAACATGGGCTCCACGCTGTCTGCGCCCTGTGCGTATTTACAGAAGCAGGGCTGACCCTGGATAGGCATCCCGGCGTCTCTTGAGATCTTCCTCAGTTGCTCTGTGAAGGACCTGAGGGAAAAGGCCACTTTGCTAAGATGTACAGCATATGGTAAGGAAGTCATCAACCAGGGGCTCTGAATACAGTTTTAGCAAAAGCAAAACAAAACAATAAAAAGGCATGCTTAATTTCTTTGGGACTGAGAATCCAGCTCAGTTGACAGCGCTTGCCCAGCAAGAAAAGGTTTGATCCCCCACATGGGTATTTCATTGCATGACTGCAACGTCAGCATTTGGGAGAGGCAGGAGGGGCTACAGTTCGAGGGTAGCCTGGAACACATGTGGCTCTGTCTAAAACAAAAACAAATTAAGTTTTAAATTGGTTTTTGATAGGCCAGGATGGCGTCACCCTGTCCCACTCAGCACTCCACAGTCTTAGCCTCCAAAGGCTCGGTTTGGGGGTAGGGACCATGTCATGCTAGCATTAAATCTGAGACAAAGCCAGATATCAAAGCTCTATTAGTAACCCATCAACAGGGTGAGTGCACACATGCCCATGGAAAATGGAGGGATACTAGTCAATAAAAAATGCAGGCTTGCTGCCTCCTCTTAGTGACACAGTGTGGCTCATTTGAGGCCACGCAGCCTAAGCCACTCTCTGTTAGGGCTCTGGTAAAACAACCGACGGCATCAGTAGCCTTGTGGGCACATCTTGGCCTTAAAGACACAGACCCAGGAACAGTAGCAGCCCACAGCATCTGGACTGCCAACAGAGACTCAGGTGGCTGAGAAGACTGTCTGTGTTCAGGGTTAAAACATCCAACCGGCAGTGAAGGCGAGGACATTTAGTTCTGTTGTAGTGAGTCAGTATTTATGCTGCATGTGTGCGCGCCTGCAAACACGCAAACCGGTGGGTGTGTCTCAGGACAGAGAGGCCGAGAATGGACCCCGGGCAGAGGCATCCAGTCCTTGCTTGGGCTTTCTTTTCTCTGGACTTCTGGCTCATTCTCTTTGAAGCACAAGCAAAAGCTGCCACCAGTGGAGAGTGACAGCCTCCCCGAATGGCCTCTTGCTGTGACGGTAAGGTTACAGCTAAACTCAGCAGGCGCTGGGGTCCTCCCTTCACTGCCCACAGACAGAAGAAAACAAATGTCTTATTTCCCCTCTAATCTTGGAACAAAAGCATAAACCCCCACGCCTAGGGCACATTCTCGTTGGTACTGCTCAAGCCTCGTCATGCCCAAGCGGCCCTGCCACTGGTGTGACACTCATAGTGTTCTGGGCTGAGGAGCAGGCCCCCGTGCAGCCCACTGTCTCAGCCTGCCCAAGCTACTAGAAAAATGGCCAAGCACAGGTCAAAGCTTGATGGGTGCACTGTAACCCTTCCCTTCACATAGGAGGACAGTCACTGCACCCTGTGCCATTGCTGCCCTGTTTTACAATCTCTTCCCATCCAGCTCTCAGTCTTCCTTCTCATTTAACTCACTGAAATTTCACAGTAGCACCCGCGCAATGGCTCGACAGGAAGGGGTGCTGTGTGTAAACCCAACAACTGGAATTCAATCCCTGGGATCCACACAGTGGAAAGAAAAGCAGCTCCCTCAGCCCATCCTCCGACAGCCACAAGCATGCTGGGATGGACAGCACATCCATCCTGCCACACACTCACACAAACAAACAAATGTAAAGCCAGGCATGGTGGCGAACACCTTTAATCCCAACACTCAGAGGGCAGAGGCAGGCAGATCTCTGTGGCTGAATCCAAGGCCAGCCTGGGTCTACAGAGGTCCTGAGTTCAATTCCTAGCAACCACATGGTGGCTCACAACCATCTATACTGGGATCAGATACCCTCTTATGGCCTGCAGGTGTACATCTGTATAGAGCACTCACCTACATAATCAATCAATCAATCAATCAATCAATCTTAAAAAAAGAAAAAAGAAAAAAAGACACAAATAACAACAAAAGAAGTCTAGGACCAAGAAAACTTTGCCATCGGTCTCCTGGGTGGCTGTGACTACAGGTTCCTGCTTCCACGTCCACTCTGCCTGTACTTTTATTCTGCCTTTTGTTTTTCCACACTAAAGCCCAGAAGCCTGAGTGGCTGGCCAAGTGCTCTACCACTGAAACGGCACCGCTCGCCCTGGTTTTTGTTTTAGACTCAGTGCTCAGGTGAGCGCACTGCTTTCCCTCACACCTAGTCTGGCCTCTTCACATCTCATGTCCTGGGAGTCACCCCAGGCAAGGGTTAGAGAAAGGCTGCCCACCACTGATCTCAGGACCCCAGTGACCCCCATCTGGGGACATGGAGGTCTCCAGCGGGCTTACTTCAGATGAACTTCAGTACACTGGCGCTGCGGTGCGAAGCAGGCAATGGCCCACACCTTGATCTCGATGCCTGTGTGGAACTGCTTGTTTCTCATGTCCCACACGCCCTGGACAGGGGTAGCAATCGCTTTGTTCTGCAAATAGAGAAAGAGGGTGCTTCAGAGTGAGGAAACAAATGGAAACATTTTTGCTGCTGGTCCTCCCAACCAGCACTTAACTCCTAGAGCACCAGACCATGGCTGTTGCTCTCCACCTCTCTAGCATCCCTTAACTAGCCCTGTAAGTAACCCCCACACACGTGCAGAATGGGGGGTGCCGATTGGAGGGTGGCAAGCTACATGAGAAATGAATGGATGGCTGGACCAATATGAACTGGTGGATACAAGTGGTGAATAAGTAAGTAGATGGGAATGATGAAATTAGTAGAGCTGGACAGATAACGGCATGAAAGGATGGGTACATGGATGAAGTTGAGCGGGGTGAGATGGACGGATGATGGGAAGGCATGAATGGAGGAGCAGAAGGATGGATGGGTAGGTGGGTGGATGGGTGAATGGGCTATACTCAGATAAATGAATGGGAAAGCATCAATAATGTACAGATAAATAGATGGAGGTGAATAGAGTCAGACATTTTCAATTCCATCTCAAAATCCTCTGAAGAAGAAAGTGAAGTTTTGATGAGATAAGAGAAGACTTGGAAACACCGAAAGCAATGTGCAAACCTTTAGTCTTTGTCATGCGTGGGGTCCAATGAGTGCAGTTCTCGGGAGCCATCTGCTGTGTCCAGGGTTTATAACGGCTATAAACACACATGGCTGTCCTCCCTGCACCGCACACACACACACACACACACACACACACTCTCACACCCCACATGCCATCCATTTGCACCTACCCTGCCCCCGTAGAGGATAGAGGGCGGCTGCAGAACCCGCCCGGTCACATCTGTCATCTCATCCTTGACCATGATTCCAAATTCACGCACATATGGGTCTGTATTGAAACTTGCACTTCGCATCTTGAGGAAGAAAAAAAATAGGGAAATGAGTCAGTCAGTGGAGATCCTCTGGTCCCTCCAGGGGCCATCTCTGCTCAAAGTACAGAAATGTGTGTTGGGGGGTTGGTGTCCTTGCCATGGCGCCCTATCTTGGAGGAACCTGAGGACCCAGTGCTCACCAATTTGCTGATCTCCTCTTGACGGTCCGGTGCTGACCTGGCAGTTGCTCTGATCATGGTTGAGGTCTGATTGTCTGTTAATTTCTTTATACATCTCTGTCCAGCGACTATGTTACAGACCTACAAAAAAGACCCATATAATTCAACACATGAGTTGTGCACGTTTCTAAGAGTAGTGGGAAGGGAGTTTTCAGAGGCTAAGCACCCAAGCCAGAACCCTGGTTATTGGTAGGCCTGCCCCAAAACCCACCACTCACAACAGAACTTCTAGGTACACCTGCCATGAAAGACATACATCCTTAAGCTTTGGTGCTACTCTGTTGGGCGCAAGGGACAATATTTAGAATTGTGAAATTGAGCCGGGCATAGTAAGGGCTCACATCTGTTGTGCTGGCTGATATTATGCCCATCTGGGGAGAGGGTACCTCAACTGAGGAAATGCCTCCATAAGCTCAGGCTATAGGCAAGCCTGTATAGTATTTTCTTAATTAGTGAATGATGGGAAAGGCCCAAGGCATTATGGGTGATGTCACCCCCCAGACCAGTGGTCCTGGACTCCATACGAAAGCAGTCTGAACAAGCCATGGGAATCAAACCAGTAAGCAACATCCCTCCACAGCTTCTATGTCAGCTCTAACTCTCGGTTTCTGCTGAGTTCCTGTTCCTGGTGAACAGTGATGTGGAAGAGTAAATGAAATAAAGCCTTCCCTCCTCAACTTGTTTTTGGTCCTTAAGCAACACATATCTTAAGGAAGACACTAATTATCCCAGAACTCACAAGGTGGAAGGAGATAGGACCTCTGAGGTGGGGGTCTACAAAGAGAATTCCAGGCTAGCCAGGGCTATGCAGTGAGATTACATCTAAGAAACAGGGGAGTGGGTAATTCCATCCAAGCTGCTAATCTTACCCCATTTTAAGAGAAGGAATGCACACAAAGGGAGGCAAATCTCAACAATGCCATAAATTAGCCCAGTCCTAGAGCACCAGGGAAGCCCAGCTGGATTCCAGCTTCTCCTCCCCAGGCAGGGTGTAGTCAGCACAGACTTGCCTCCAAGGGAAGGTAGGTGTGTTTCTGCTCCTGTCCAACTTGTAAACACGGGAGGTGGGGGTAGCGCAGAACCAGCTTGTGCCTGTCCTTGAAGTACTGGGCCACTGTGCACTCCACTGTCTGCCCACTCTCCTGCTGCAGTGGGAACCTGTGAGAGAGGTGATTCAGGCAAGAACACTGCAGGCCCCCTGGACACCGGAGCTCCCATACTCCTCCCGAAGGCCAAGCATCTGTGTTGTGTGGGAAGCAAATCCTTCAAGCATCTCCTGAACTATTCTAGAGGTCTTCACCTCTCAGGCTGCCCATGCCTACTGGCAAATATCAACTGCCCACGCGTCTTAGAAAGGCAGCAGTCACAGTTTCTACTGAATACAGAAAGATGAATCCAGAAAGGTCTGATGCTTTCCAGCAGACCATGGTGACTCTAAGTAACTCCTGTACCCTTGGCTCCCAGCGGTGAGAAGAAATTCCCAGATAAAAGCAGGCTGGTCTTAAATCTAGGGTTTCCCTGTAGGACTGAAGCAAGAAGTGATAACTAAGACATTAAATAGGGGAGGTGAGCTATGTACCACATGCAGGGGAAGGACAGCTCCCAAGTGGGAAAGGCCATCTGGCCCAGTCTTCTTGAGCAGACTTCTCTGCTCTGTCCAGACTGCCAGGTAATCTGCCACCCCTTGTCCAACGGGCAGGTGACAGAACACGTATCTAGTCCATCAAACCCTGCTGTTCCATGAGGAGCAGACACCTTGGCACCCTAGCAACAGTCTGTTTTCTGTGAATGAAATAAGCCAGCAAGTTCTCACTAGGTACAATAGATCCAGAACAGGGCACAGTGCCGACACTTGTCAGTTTTCTCCTAAACACACAGTCGATTGTGTTCTTGCCACTAGACAAATGACAGCACGACTGGCTGCTTAACTACTCCAGTCAGCAGGGCTAGTCAGCTGTGCCAAGGGGCAGAATGGTGCCACAGGTGTCACTGCTCCTCCCAGACTTAAGCAAAACAACACAGCAGACGGCCAACACTGTTAAGGCCGCTTCCTCTGTTCTCCTGTGCATACGGGATTTTGGTGTTGGGACATACATTTATTTGTTCTTATCCATCCATCCATCCATCCGGGTGTATTATCTGCATGTATGTCTCTACGCCAGAAAAAGGCATGGGATCCCATGGGACCACAATTATAGATAGTTGTGAGTTGCCATGTTAGGAATTGAACCCAGGACCTCTGGAAGAGCAGCCTGTATTCTTTACCATTGAGCCATCCCTCCACCTCCCACTTTTTTTTTTTTTTTTTTTTTTGGTAAATTATTTTGCACATCATGACATATGCCTTAAATCCCAGCACCCTGTAAGCAAATCCATCTTTGTGAGTAGTTCCAGGCCAGTCTGGTCGACGTAATGAATCCCTGTCTTAAAAACAAAACAAAATGGGAGCTGGAGAGATGATGGCCCAGAGCAATGGCTGCTCTTGCAGAGGACACAGGTTTTATTCCCAGCACTCATACAGTGGCTCACAGTCACCTGTATTTCCCATTCCAGAGGAGCTAATGCCTCATCTAACCTCTACAGGGACCATATATATGTGTGGTGGACATACATGCAGGCAAAGCATTCATACAATAAAAATAAAGATATACAATTTTGAAAAACACTGAACTTATTGTATTTTAAATTATGTGCATGTGTGTGGGGGGATTCCTGCAGGTGCAGGTACCAGGGGAGTACGTAAGAGGCCGCTAGAGCTGGAGCTAAAGGAAGTTGTAAGCTGCCCAACACGGGTGCTGGGAATCGAACTTTGCCCTCTGCCAAGAGCAAGACATGCTCTTAACCGCTGAGTCATTTCTCCAGCCTGTGGAGTTCCTTTTTTAGAGCAGAGCGTGTGTGAGCCACAGAGGTAGCTGCCCCATCAGGACAGTCCCATGGCTTCCGGTGTCTGGGAAGCTGAAGGCCTAGGGCAGGCCTAAGTTTGAAATGAGGGTTGGCTGTTTGGCTGCCTTACGTTTGGTGACTGGCAGGCCGCCGGGTCACATTGCAGACACGGTACTTCCTCTTCATCTGACCACAGTGCGTTATCTCCACCTTTAGACCTGGTGACAAACAGCAGGCATCAGAGCTACTCTTGCCATGTGCTTACAGTCCAAGCCACACTCTACAATAGGTTTCCACACTTGCAGCTTTGGCCACAGATGAAGCCATGGGGTTCTAGAGCTGAGGACTAAGAAATGGGGGCTATCTACACCTACCTTGCTGGATTCACCTCGTCCAGAGATCCCTTCTGCCAGCAAAATTCAGCACAGCTAAGTGAGCGCCACTACAACCCTTCTCTGAGACCTATCGTCTGTGGCTTAGACAGGACACCCAGGCTGTTCCCATGCGGTTGTGCTCATTAGAGTCAGGGGCCCTCTGTGCATGGGTTCTGGCTATGTCAGAGTCAGTGTGCCTGGTGGCTCACTCTTCCCACAGCTCCCACCACCCCCATTGGAGGTGGAACAAGAACCCACACATGCATGGGCGAAGACTTTGGGGGTAGGGGTGGGGCTGGCCCCTAGCCTGCCGTGCAGAGTGGTTCTTTACCTTTGATTTCTTTGGTAAACTTTACCCTTTGGGAATCTGTCAGAGGTTTTTGTTGTTCTTCAATACTTTTAAAATCCAAAACTTCACAAACAAACTCGATCACTGGCTGTGCCTTGTAAAATGCTGTTGCTGACACTATATGCAGGAGAAGAAAGAGTCAGACAAGAACGTTTGATCGTGGCATCTGGAGTAATCCCTGCGACTACTTAGTAGCTCAGGAGACCCGACCTTGCTTCTCCTCTTTGGAGTGGGTCCTGGCCCTTCATGATGAGAAAACCAATGTCCAATATGCCCAGGGCTCCATACTCCAAGGGAGGGACTGGCCCCAGGGGTTCCATGCTTCCTCTAGCCAAAGGCAATGGTAAAGGATTGGCTGGGTCTGAAGAAGTCACTCAAGGAGATTACTGAGGTCTTGAAAAGTCTGGCCTGACAGGGGACATCCAGGATGTCGGGATCCTGTCAGGTTTTCTGGCTACCTTCAGCAAGAGGCATTCCTGAGGTTTTTCCTTTCATGTAGTTCTTTGACAACCAATGCACATCTGAGCAAGGTGTGACCTGTGGGCCTTCCTGGGGCTGTTGTAAGAACTTGCCTCTTCCTGGTTGTCGGTCTCTGGCAGCAGGAAGAGGACTGCAGAGTATGACCCTGAGTCTTCGGAAGCAGGAGGAACAATGGGGGGGGGGTTACAGTGTCCCTAACATTGAAAGCTAACTAGGTTGTGGGGGCTCTGAACCAAACAATGGATTAGTCCGTTGATGGAATCACAATTGAATGGTATGTCTTGGGGGCTGTAAGAACTCAGATGAAGGTCCTGACCTGAGGAAGAGCTTTCCTGGAGATGTGCTCTCAGGAAGGCCCCTTACCCCGACCCCTTTCTATCTCCTTGCTTCCCAGCTACCGTGTGATAAGCAGCTATGCTGTGTCACAGCCTCTTTGTCATGGTGTTTTCTTTAGGATGACAGCATCAGCTTACTGTGGCCTGAGGCCTTTGAAACCCTAAGCAAATCTTTAGTGCTATAAAGATTTATAAAAACCATCTATATATAAAGATGGTTTCTTCTAGGTACCTGTCACAGCAAGGACAGGTCTAATATAGCCCTAAGGATGGAAGATCACTAGGCAGTGGTCAGCCATTGGCACCAAATGGTGCCCTTTCCTTAGTACAAACAGCAATGAGTAATCAGGAAACATGGGAAGAAAGTGAGGGTTGCAGCCCCAACCTCACACCTCGGGTGCTCTAGTAGTGCAAAGGGCCTGGCAGAGGTAGCTCTCCAGGCTGGCTCAAGGGTCCCTGGGAATGGAACACTCCAAGGTCTTTGATATCCAACTAGGAACTACCTTAGATACCAGGCTGGTGCCACACCAGAGCCCTGCTACAGACAGCGATGAGCCTCTGGGCTCCTCCGCCCACTGTAGCGGGAGCTGCATGGGTCCCCTCCACCCTGCATTAAAGCCCGCGGGCTTTTCTTACCATCGATATTCAGCATCATTTTCCAAAGAGAAGGTCGGACGGACTGATGGAAGCCAAACCACACTTCTCGGCCCCCACCCAGAGGGTTGGAACAGCCTTCAGATGCAGTGAAGAAGGAACGGCCAACAGGGGTGTACCTGCAACAGAGACAAGCCCTCCCTTGTCAGACACTCAGCCAGGAAAGGCCACGCTGACGCCATGTCTCTCCCCCAGTCATCCCAGCAGGCATAGCTACACTCTGACCACTCTAGGCTTTCTTCTGTGAAGTTCACTCTATGGCGTTCTAATCTGCATTCATACTGTGTAAGCGGCATCCCTGTGGGCTTATACCATCCAGCAGTCTGTACGGACACTGGACAGCTTCCTGTCCACAGAGCCTACATGCTGAGCTGTGCACACAGATGACCTGAGCTGCAAGCTGCCCAGCCACAGCAAACACTCTCTCTCTGCACCCTCCCCTACAGACTACTGGACACATGGGATGTGCCACCACTCAGGATGCCAAAGGGAGGACACTCTTCAGCTGAGGTACAGGGGGCACTGTTAATGAAATCATGAAGTGTGTCTTTCTTACTTTCTGCCTGTGCTTGTTAATCCTGTTGCATCTTACGATCTCCTGATTGTAAAAATGAGTGTAAACAATTCAAAGGAATTCAGAAGGAAGAAACCATAGGAATTCCTGCTGCTCAACTAAAAATTAGACAATGTGGCCAGTGAAGTAGCTCAGAGGGTAAAGGGTGCTTATAGACAAGCCTGATGAACCAGTACCATTCCTAGGATCCACATGGAGGAAAGAAAAAACTGACTCCTAAGTTATCCTCTGACCCCCCCCCCCACACACACACACACGACATGGCCACACAAATTAAAAATACTGGTTTGTTTTTAAACCATAGACAAGATCTTGTTAATCTCCATTTTGGGCTATTTCTGTGCCTACCTGCCTCCCTCCCCTCAATACTTCTTGGCAGTGATAGACATGCCAGGGCCCTGCCAGAGTGACAGCTGGCTCTGGGACGTAGTCTTCTCGATGCCTAATGTGTAGTTAGGGAGCCAAAGGAACATCCAATTTTCTCCAGAGCAGAGAGGGGTCAATCCCACAGCCTAAGCCCAGACGAGTTTTTTTTTTTTTCTTTTTTTTTTCCTGCTGCTCACTTCTGATCTCCTTAGTCAATTTCCACCATTTCTGAGGTTCTACTGTGTGCTTTGTGTGAGAGCCAAGTTCAGACGTGGCTCCATGGGCTTGGTCCCATGTGCTGGTCAGTGCAACACACCCTCTAGCAAGAGGAAAAAGGACAAATCATTGAAACGATCTGTACCACCCACCCTTTGTTAGGTGTAGCAAATGTCATAAGAGCTGTGGCAAGGTCTCGAAAGGACAGGCATTCAATCAAGCATGATGTGGGTGGCCAGTGTGGTGTCCAAGTGTGGCTGGGACTCTCCACAGGGCCCTGTGAGCTCACAGCCAGAGGTGAACCTTCTACACTCAGGCAGGGCCACTGGTGATGACTCTAACATTATCTTCTTCCATCTCCGACTGTTTGCCCCACAGACTGCACATGTGAGGCCAGCAACACTGGCTCCTCCCTTCCTTGGTCAAGATCTCAATCTTTCTGAGAACACTCCGCTTCAGCTTGTAGCCCTTTCCCCCACCCAGCTGAGGCCCTCACCTCATGGATGGCAAGTGCCTCATGACAACGTCCAGGGCCTGGATCGTCTCGAAAGGGACGCTGGGCAGCCGCCCCGAAAGTGCATCGTGTAGCGCCTGCAAGCTCACGCACGACACCCACTTGATGGAGACCTTGAAGATGCGATCTTTACCTTCTCCTGGCAGCGTGACCTCCAGTTCCACCTGTCAAACCGAAACACGAAGGTCATTTCCTCCCCCAAAGCACAAGAAATTAAAATTTTTATTTTACTTTTTTGTGTGTGCAGCGGTACAAATGTGTGGAGGCCAAAGGCCTACCTTAGGCGTCTTCCTCAACTGCCTTCCACTTTACATGTTCAGCCTCTCTTTGAACCAGGGGCCGGCTGGTGAGGCTAGGCTGCTCAGATCTGTACCCCGCTGCTGAGGGCAGAACTCAGGTCCCCATGTTTTTGTGACAAGCACTTTACCAAATGAGCCACCTCCCCAGACTCAGCTTTATCGCCTTTCAACAAATGTGCAATCACACAACTGTGTGAGGCTGGGGGCCAGCATACTGGACAAAAGTGTATTTGTCCAAAAAGTGGTCAAAAGTGTATTCAGGACAATCCTCAGCACACAGGGCATTCATGACTCGAACATGCCCACTTTTCTCTCGTAACAGTTATTCAATCTACCTGTAACTTAATGTCCACGGTCGGATCTCAGTTGTGCCTACAACACTGCATCATGACTGTGGCTCACAAACCATTGCATAGGTAATGATCAAAATATGGCTTTGTTGCCAGGAGCAGTGGTGCACACCTGTAATCCCAGCACTAGGAGGCAGAGACAGGTGGATGGATCTCTGTGAGTTTGAGGCCAGCCTGGTCTACAAAGCAAGTCCAGGACAGCCAAGGCTACCCAGAGAAACCCTGCTTTGTTATCTGTGGTTGACATGTGCCCATGTTTCTGGAATATTTTATCCTTAAGTACCCAAAACTTACAGCAGGGAGACTGGTTCACCTCACCCTATAAGTATCACCAAACACTGAGCTGAAAAAAGCCCAAGGCCCCAGGGCCAGAAATAGGCAGAAAGGGGACTGGGGTTTAGGATGGCCAATGACACTACTCATAGGGAAAACAACCCAGATGTGTGTCCAGAACCCAAGTACGTCTGGTATATCACATAGTCCCAATCTATGTGGGGAGATGGTAAACTGGCTAGACTCAGCCTCTGAGGATATATACACTGATCTGTGCAGATCTTGCTTGGACATCTCTAATGGAAGTTTCATTTTCTTTGTAAACTCAGTTATATGTTTTTGTTTTAATCCCAAGTGTAGGATTTCAGTCGGGCTTTAGTTTGCCCACAGCTGAGAGTTGTCTCACGCGGGGCATGATCTTTGACAGCTGCTAACAGCCTGCCACATGAGGCAAGGAGAGGGGTGTAGTCTAGGGCTCTGATGATATAAATATGACAGCCCAGAAACACAGAGTGTGGTGACTGGCAGTTTGGAGAGACCAGAGACAGATTGATGGTGTGGCAATTTGGAGCGGTTAGACACAGAGAAATGCTTCAGAGCACAGCAGCTTGGAGGAAACTGCTGGCTGTGTCTGTGGTGCGTGGAGAATGGTATAGCCAAGAGAAGTAAAGGGGTCTGTGTCCCCTCTCCCCACTAACCTTTTCTCTCCTACCTAGGGTTGGGGCACTGATGGGAAGGAGAGGCCTAAACACCCCAAGTAAAAAAGTGTTTTAAAATGAGTGCTACAGACATCCTTGCAAGAAGGAAATCAAATTGAGAAAAAAATTGTGTGTATTTTGGTACAGCACACCACTAAGAAACAAAGGGAGAAGAACGCTGCACCCAGACACAAAGAAACAGTGTTTAGGGGATGTTGTGAACACACAGAAGCAGCTGTGTCTTCAAGGTTTCCCTGTCCTCAGCTATGGGGCCACATGCACCCCTCCCCATAGAAGGAGTGGCAGCACCAGCAGGTGTCTGGCGTCACAACTACTATGCTGGACAGGCCAGAGGGACAGCTGCAGGGCTTGGTGCCATGCACCCTTTTCTGACAGGGACGTGCAGGTCACGTTCTGCTTCAATGTGCCCAGGGAGCTACTGTGACTTTGCATAGAAATCGTCTGGGAAAACAAGTCGCTTGCCTGTGCTCGAGAAGGTTTTTTGTTTGTCAATTGGACAGAACTAGAACCACCTGGGAAGTGGGAGCCTCAAGTGAGGAATTCCCTTTATCAGATTGGCCTGTGAGCATTCTCAGAGGGCCCAGCCTACTCTGAGTGGAGCTTCTTGAGAGGTGGTTGGTTCTGGGTTATACAGAAAAAGCAAACTGAGAAAGCCAGTGATCCGTGTTCTTCGATGGTCCCTGCTTCAGTTCCCCCCGAGGCTCCTCACTTGTCTTCTCTCAATAACAAACCCTCCCCAACCCCAACCTGCTTTTGTTTTTATCCCAGCGACAAAACTTGGGTTCAGAAGTGGGATGTTGCTGCGCTAGGCCTGACCATGTTGTTCTTCTGGAAGGTTGTGGAAGCGTCTGGAACGTCGGGTTGGCAGCGCTCAGAGCCTAACGAGCTGTGGTTAAGGGAGCTTGAAAGAAAAGAATGTTGAGAGTAGTGCAGACAACAGAAGCTTGGCTTGTGAAACTTAGTGAGGAGCAAACACCATCAGAGCGGTTGGTGTGATGTATTTGAATTAAGAGTCGATGTTAGTGAACCTTTTGTGTTTTATAGGGACAATTGTTGCTGATCAGCTGTAGTTAGTAAAAGACCAGTATCATTGATATGAAATAGTCTCTGAGTATTTCCTTCGGGTCAGCACACAAAAGCAGTGGTCCAGAGGGGCCCAAGGCTGCCAATTAAAGCTGAAACATGGTAATGTTTATATCCTCCACATGGTACTAGCTTTGATGGCACGAAAGCTGAAGAACTGAAGGAGTCATGGAGAGAAGCTGAGGCTTGGCACCACATGGCAGGCTTAGAATTTCTGAAGAGGGGTCATTAGTGAGGGTGCAGCCTCAGTTGCGATGGAGACCCCAGGATTGAAAGGGTCATAGAACGCAGCTGAGACTTGATACCAAAACGCTGGGTCAGAGTCCCTGAAGAGAGTGCAGGAGGCCATTGGTAAAGTGTGGCCTCATCTGCAGTGGAGACCCCATCACAATGGAGCTGTCAGGACTGGGGGATGACCATCACAGGCAGTAGCAGGGGTAGGGTGGGGTCAGGTCCACAAGTGGCACTGCCCAAATCCTGCAGACTCCAGAAGACCATGAGTAATCCAGACACTGGGCACTGAGCTTTTCTTATGAGACAGGCTCTCACTCCATAGCCTTGACTGGAACTCATGTTTCCCTTGCTCTTCCTCCAGTGGGACTGCTTTTACACCCTGGTTCTTCTTGTTTTCAATAACAAAGTATTTAACTTGTTTTTAATTTTACAGGAAAATCCAGTTAAGAGACTTTTTTTTTTTTTAAAAGACTGTGAACTTCTGTTTTGTTTTTTAGAACCAGAGTCTCACTGTGTGGCTCTTGGCATCCTGGAACTCTTTCTGTAGAACAGGCTGGCCTAAAACTCAGAGACTTGCCTGCCTCTGCCTCCCAAACGCTGGGATTAAAAGTGTGCACTACCATGGCAGGGTTTTTACTTAGGGGTATTTATACGACCTCTTTGTGATAAACAAGAAAGAGTCATGGTTTAAGAGTGATGTTTTTATGTGTCAGGTTGGCAAGGGGTCCACTCTTCTTGTCACACTGACAAAAAGCTAACGTCACCTGGGAGGAAAAGATCCTCAGCTAAGTACCTCCACCAGACTGGCTTGTAGGCAAATATGTGGGAGATTTTCTTGACTAATGATTGATACTGGAGGGCTCAGCCCATTGTGGGCAGTGCCACAATTAAGCGGGTAGGTCTGGGTTGCATACGCCACAGGAAACAAACCAGGAAAGGATGATTCTTCCATGCCTGTGTTTTAGCTCACACCTCTGTTCTTGCTTTGACTTCGTTCCCTGACTTCTCTTGGGGTAGGCTTTAAGGTCTCCTATGTTCCAGCTAGGCCTCGTGTGGCAGTCTCCTTCTGTTGCCTTAGGATCAGGATGTAGAACTCTCAGCTCCCTCTCCAACACCGTATCTGCCTGCACCCACCACACTTCTCAATGTGACGATAATGGGCTAAACCCTCTGAAATGGTAAGCCAGCCACACAATTTAAAAAGTTGCCATAGTCATGGGTATCATGTCACAGCAATAAAACCCTAACTAAGACATCAGGACATGTGAGCCAAGTAAACCCCTTCCCTTCCAAGTTTTCTTGGTCATAGTGCTTATCAGCAACAGAAAGTCAACTGCAACAGTAGCCCTCCAAACACCTGCATCAAAACCAGTGCATTTGTGAAGTGTGCCAGGGACCCAGAAACACCCTGGCAGGTGAAGGCAGAGACACAAGGGTGGGTGTATGTAGGCTTATCAGGGGCTTCCATGAGCTGGGTCTCAGCCATAAATTCCATCTAAGAAGAAGACACTTAACTCCCCCTGGCCTGGGAGGCAGCAGTTCAGAAGCTGCAAACCCCCAGGCAGCTGGCAAGAGAAGGCACGGCTGGACACAGCTGAGGGTAATGCATCGAGTGAAAGAAGACTGGGGACTTCAGTACCAACTTTAGAGGAAATGGTATAACTTTCCAGTTCTGTGCCATCTCAAAGTGAGACCACGGGGCTGGCAGGCGCAAGTACTCTCAGCCCTAAGGAATTGCTGCTTTCTTTCTGCATAGGCCAGCAGCGAGGTGGACACCCACAGGAGAGGTGAGCTGAGTTCTGGAGAGGGCTGCGCCTTGGAGGTGATGTGACATGGACACTGGGGTATACCCATGGCAGGTACCACAGTCCCCACTGAGCCACTAGCTAGATGCTAAGCCTAATGAACTCAAGGAGAGTTCTTTCTTGCTACAGATGACAAAAAAGAGAGAAAGCTTTGGTAGTAAAAGAAAAATATTTGTGATGGGCTCAGACAGGAGGGAAACCCCCACGTTAGCTGAGAGGTTCCCAAGTTCTCTGGGGCTCCAGCGAGTCATAGGAAAGCACTGTCGAGGTCTAGGATTAAGTCAGAAGGAACCAGACAGAATGAACCGTGCACCTCCAAGTGCTGTGTGCAGACTAGCACAAACAGGCAATAATGCACCTGCTATACCCGCCGAGGGCTCATGTCTTGGGCAGTGGGACGGAGCTCTGCCAAGCCTTGCTACTCACAATGCAATGTAAGAACAGAGAACACACAAAGCCCCCGGACCCGCAGTGACTCACACTGCAGCTGAGTCCCCAGGCGTCCCACATACAGGAGAGGTGGGGCTGCCTGTCCAGCTGCTCCACTCTGTGGGGGATGTCAGGCTGGCGGCGGGGGAAGGGGCTGTGTCAGGTCCCGTTACTAGAAGAGGCATACAGGCTACATCTGTTTTCACTACAGTTTGAGCTGGTAGCTCATATGACTGTGTGTCTGCATCTGAGCATCAGAGACGTACCATCCCTCCTTCAGGACGCCTCTCCTCAGGCTCCTCCCAGTGTCTAATTATAAATCTGTACCAACAAAACTGTGAATAAACTCCTTATGCTTTTCTTTCTTATAGAGCTTTAAACAAAAACAAATGTGTAAATTAAACACAAAACCTTAAGATCAATAAATCTCCAATTCCCAGCATGTTAATTTGCCAGGGAGAGCCTGCTCAGCTCATTCACACCCAGGCCTGGGATTCCCTCCAACTCAGAACCCTATGCCCATCTCCCTATCCTGGAGTGGCGGTGGCAAGCCACCGCCACTTGTGACTGGGAAAAGCGAGATCAGAATAAGGCCCAGGGAGCTGGGTAGTCATCGGCCCCTCTCCCTGCCCTAACATAGTGCATTCCTGTCAGCATGGTGACACGGGGCAGAGCCACCAGGTACCAAGACCACCTGGCTCCACTGGGAATGCGGACAGGCACAGAGGAGCCAAGGCCTTTGGTCACTTAGCAACACAAACGTCTTCAGGCCTGCAGAAAATGTGCCGGGCCCACCATTCTCAGACGTGTCAAGGTCTGGACAGAAGCTTTATTACTTTTTAAATAAAGCGAAGATAAGGGTAAAAATAATAAGGGAAGGTAACTGTTTTCTACAGCCACCGCGGCCAGCCTGACTCATCTTCCCCCTCCTCACTGCAGAGGCTGCTGCAGCACATCGCTTTGTTACGCTGCCAGCAACACACACACACACACACACACACACACACACACACACACACCACACACAGGCTGTGTCTGCTGCTCTGTGGGCTGCACTTGGGAGTGTGTTCTCTATCTGACCAGCTTCACTGCACACCTCAGCACACACCTCATGGTGAGGCCCACACACAGCAGCTTCCCTAGCCTGCCAGATGAAGTGATTTTATACAACATCAGAGAAGTAACCTTGGGGCATGTCTGAATCTCACCGCACCACCTGTACTCGGCCATGGCACTTGTAGCCTCACCTTGTCCCTGCCGATTGGAAGCGGCATGGCAGTGTATAGGTTCTTCCTTCCATCGAACACTGGCTTCCGGTCCCCGAAGATCTGGGTCTTAAAGTGCTGGACCATGTGCTCCACTATTTCCCTGAAACAGACAGAATTCAGCAAAACGTCAAGGAAGCTGAAGAGGCGGCATGGGGGTTGGCGTCTGTCTGACAGAAGTGAGCTTCAATTTCTTCAATTTGAAGCCACTTAAGGAGACCAGGGTTTCCACCTGTCATGTGGCTTTCTACCCTCTTCTGTGGGGGTAGGGAGAAAATAATAATGCACCAAGACCTGAAGCAGGCTTCTCTCAGATTACTGGTCACACAAATGTGGGAAAGCATCCTGTTGAGTTACATGGACATATTAGTGAATGTTACCGTTAACTTCGGACTGCCCATGTACATTGAAATGTAGCCACTGGACTTTCTTTCCCAGAGTTGTAGATCATCTGTTATGAGGCTGCATATCCCTCATAGTCCACAGACCACAATTTCTGCCACATAACAGGGTACCTGGCCTGTTAGGGCTACGGGCATCACCAACATCTTAGAAGAAACCCCTCCTCAACTCTCTCCAAAACAAGCAGAGAGGAGCTGCAGAGACATCAGGGAGGAAGCCCTGGGCTGAGCAGGCACACACTCGGCTCCGGGCCTCACTAGGCTGTTACTGTGAGCCCTCGGGAACGCCTGTGCACGCTGTACCCAAGAGCAGCCCACGTGCTTAGCACAAGGGCAACGAGCAGCAGCCGGCCACCCGGCCTCAACCTGGCCAACAGGTCACACCACCATCACCGTTTTATGTGGGAAACACTGAAGCCCAGGGCCTCCAAGAGCAAGGTGCGGTTGCCTTCTTCTACACCCTGCTTCCTGGCCCCTGGGAATGGCTGTAACTGTGCAGTAACTGGCATGTGCTGGCTGTTACTTTCACTACAGTTCTGGAAGGTTCTTTAAAAAAAAAAAAAAAAAAAAAGCCATACTTCAGTTAGTTTCTAATTATGCAGGTTTTCTGCTACCGCACGCTTTGTGACACAAAGCTAAACACTTGCTCAGACTGCCTCCCACCCCAGCTTTCTCACAAGACTATGAACAATCCACAGTTTTATACAGCCACACAGACACATTATTTTTTTAAATTGCTCTTATATTTTGTTTTAAAAAAGATTTTTGTTTTATTTTTAATTACATGTATTGCGTGTGGGTGTGTGCATGCAAGGACAGAGCCTGTGGAAGGCAAAGGATTCCTTGGAGCTGGAATTACAGCTCCAAGGAATTGTTAGCTACTTGATGTGGGTGCTGGGAAATTCTCTGCCACAGTCTCCAGTGATCATTATTCTTTTACATTAGGCTATCTGGGGCCTGATAATGTCCTACTATGTATCTTTCTTTTTTAACCCCATGAGACAGGGTTTCTCTGTGTAGCCTTGGCTGTCCGGGACTTGCTTTGTAGACCAGGCTGGCCTCAAACTCACAGAGATCCATCTGCCTACCTCTGCATCCTGATTAGAGGCATGCGCCATACCGCCTAGCCCTACTATGTGTCTTAAAAAAAATATCTTCTAACTACTATGTACAACACATATAAACATAGATATAATCAAGCTGTAACAACACCCAAGTAAGCTATTGATTACCTATAGATAGAAACTTGGAAATGTATCTACCTATCCTTTTGAGATAATCACTTAAAACTAAAATACTAGGCCAGAGGATATGCAGTATCTTTAATGTATGTACCCAACCGCCTTCTTAAACTTGTAAAGCAGACTGTGCCACAGATGGGCTGAAATCAGGGCCAGGAGGAAAGAGGCACGGATGAGCTACTTCCTCGGCAGTAACTATATTTTTTTGTGAGTCTAGCCATGCCCTCTAGAAACATGAGGCCCACCTATCTCCCAAGGGCTGGATGTAAGGGAGTCCTATTATGGCAGGCAAGACTGAGCTTGAGGTGTCCCTGCTGGACGGTGGGTGCATGATGTCATAGCACTAACAGTGACATATCTCTGGCTATCAAAGCCTCCCAGTTGGGCTAGTCTTGGCTTTCACAGTCTGCTGTGCATGGAACAATAGGAAAGAGACAAAGACAGGGGCAGAGTGAGGGCAGCAAGGCAGAGTTATGCCCATGACATGAGGAAAGCATGAAATCAGCACTCAGCTAGCTACCTTCCTGCTGAGCCCATTTTGCCAAACTGTCCTGCTGGGTGCTTCTCCACTAGGGATGGAAGTGGGATCCTATGCAAACACAGTTAAACATTGGCCTGCTTCAAGGGGAGAGCCCACAATTGCGCACAACACTGTTTCTGACATTACATCACATTGACTACCATAATCTTATGGCCCACCACAATTAACAGTGAAATGAAGAACATTAAAAGTTTGCATATTTAACCAGCCAGAAGCTCTCATAATTATCTGCAAGCCTAGTGGGCTGGTCCTTGCCTCGGTCCGCACCACGCAGGCCCCTCAGTTGCTGAGAGACTGAGCTGACGCAGTTCAAACCATGGCAACCTCAGCTTCTTACAGACATGACAGGCAAAGAGCAGCAGAGTCCATAAAACAGCACGTGACCACTGCCAGCCACACACGGGAGCCTGATGTAAGCCTGAGTCACGCCTCCTTTCAGAAAGGGCTTTCTGCTTGCTGTGGATGGCATGACAAGAGCCTGATGGGAACCACAGAGCCCAGACAACAAGAGTGCCTTTGCCTACCCTCATTCTAGTCCAGAGGGTATATGCTACAACACTTGAAACCAACAGGTTTCTGTTCCAGGAAGCTAGCAAGCAAACTGACACACCCATTATCAATCTTCATTAAGACAATATAAAAGATGCAGAAAGACCCTCAGCACTGACAGCTATGGCTTCTGTGGAGAAATATACTTGTTACAGGAACACATTAAAAGGGCCTGATGTGTAACACACTCTAGGCACACTGGTTCAGCAAGTCAGATAACAAGAGTCCTAAGGCACTCGCTCTCCTCCTCCAGCAGCTGTGACAGGAGAAGGTACACCAGCATGGGGGCACCAGCACCCCTGGGGACAGTCTGCAACACAGATTAAGGCTCTCCCACAATGCAGCTGGCTTTGGGCTTAGCCTCTTGCCTTAAAATGATTAGAGGAAACAGAAGGTCGCTGTTTGGGGACTGAGTTACTGGCAGTGGGACCACTGGCTTCACGTTCACTGGGCATCCTGGATCTGGAGCCCAGCAAAGCGGCAGACCCAGAGTTGCAGGGGTGGAGAGCTCTAGGCCAAGAAAATGGCAATTGGATTGATCCCCTCAACACCCTGCCACGTCAGGTACACCCCACAGATGAGCCAAGATCACAGTGCAGGTATGTGATCCAACCACAAAGGTGGCATACAGCCTAAGGGAGATCCTGTGCTCTGACAAAATCTCACGGAAAGGAAACTCAACAATGAATGAGTGAGATGGGCTGTCCACAAGCACAAACCAGAAGTCATCCTCAGGGGGCCTGGGAGATGGCTCAGTCAGTGAAGTGCTTGCCATAGCATGAGGACCTGAGCTTTGATCACTACGCTGGAGAAACAAAGACAGCTGGATTCTGGGGGCGCACAGGCAGACCAGCATGGTCTAATCTGTAAGCCTTGGGACCACGTGACAGACCCTGACACAGAAACAGGGGTGTGTTGAGGAATGACACACAGGTTGACCTCTGCCTTCCACAGGCAAAAATTCACTCATTTCTGCACATCTGATGTTTGAGGAAAAGCAGTAAAAACTATCCCAGTTGAAAAAAACAGAGTACCCCGATTCTTAGCTCACAGCCCTCTGACCGAACGTAGAGATCCCTGGCCTTGCATGCGTAGAGTAGCAATTCTGAAGAAGGGGGAGAAAGAAGCTCCAAGAAACGAAAGCCAGTATTCTCCCATATACCTTGAAAGGCCAACATAGAGTTCACGGAACATGAATCCCCAAATATTTACATGGGCAGACTGTAGTCACATGGTGGGAGAGCAATATTAAAACTAAGAAGAGAGGCAGTTAGCGCAGCAGTGGCTATTCTTGTAGAGGACCCGGGTTCAACTCACCACCCACATGACAGTTCACAATTGTCTGTCACTCCAGGGGACACAACTCCCACTTCTGGCCTCTGCTGGTACACAAACACACAGACAAAACACCCATACACATAAATAAAATTAACTTAAAACATGAAAAAAAAAATACAATGTGTCCACTATTGTAGCCAACTTATTTTTCTTCTGTGTGAATGTTTGAAGAAGAGAGACTATGTAACCCTGGCTGGTCTGGAACCTTCTATGTAGACCAATCTAGCCTTGAACTTAAGGGATATGCCTGCCTCGACCTCCCACACGTTGAGGTTAAAGTCATGCACCACCTGGCTTGACCTCAGAAACAAAGAGTGTTCAATTGCTGTTACCAACACAGTGGGCAAGAACTCTGCTAAGTCGTTCTTGGACTTCCGTGTGCACACTGCAGGATGCGCACGCTCTGTCTCTCTCACAGATATACACAATATGGATAAATGTAATAAAAATTTTAAATTAAAAAGAGGGTGGGCTGGAGAGATGGCTCAGAGGTTAAGAGCACTGGCTGTTCTTCCAGAGGTCCTGAGTTCAATTCCCAGGAACCACATGGTGCCTCACAACCATCTATAATGAGATCTGGTGCCCTCTCTGGCATGCAGGTGTACATGCAGATACAATATTGTATACATAATCAATACATAAAAATTTTTAAAAAGGTGAGTTAGCAAACTGGCCCAGTAGGTAAGGTGCCTGCTACCTAATACTCTGAGCTCCAGGCCTGAGAACCACACCACATAAAGATGCAACTCTATGTAGATGAAGACTAGAATGATTCCTCTGCCCAGGCCGGCTTCCTGGCTTCCTGGTGTTAAGATTACAAGTGTGAGCCACCATGCTTGCTTATAAATCACTTCTAAATAAGAATTAAGGAAGGCACCTTCTATTATTGGATGGTTAGTCTGTCATTGGGACGCAGCAATTAAAAGCACGGTGTAATGGTGCACGCCTTTCATCCCAGCACTGAGGCAGGTGGATCTCCAAATTCTAGGCCAGCCTGGTCAATACACAGAGCTTCATTCAGGCCAGCCAAGGCTACATAGGAAAATTCTGCCTCAACAACAAAAACCAAGCTGTGGTGCAGGCCAGTAATCCCAGCACTCAGGGAGGCAGAGGCAGGCGGATCTCTTTGAGTCCAAGGCAAGCCTGGCTTACTTAAGAGTCCAGGACAGCCAAGGCTACAGAGAAACTTGTCTTGAAGAGAAAAGGAAAAAAAAAAAAAGGAAGAAAGAAAAGAAAAAGAAAAAATGACACAATTAGAGCCAGGGAAATGTTTTGGCAGGTGAAGGTTCTCACTGCTGAATCCGAAAACCTGAGCTGTATTCCTAGGTCCCCCTTAGGGGAAGAGAGGACCAAGTTCCATCAGTTAACCTCAGCACAGCTTTCTCACGTGTACATGCATGCACGCACACGTGTGTACGTGTGTGCCTGCATGTGCACACACAGGGACAATGAATAAACGTAAGTTTAAAATATTTTAAAAACAAAAGGATACAACAGTTAATGAGAATGCTTGAAGCAGAAATAGCACCATGAGAGAAGCAAGCCCACATCATTGTTATGTGAAATAAATAAATCAGTAAGTAAGTGAAGACCATAAAGAGTTGGGCTAAAAGGACTAACCAGGTCAGCCTAAGACCAGAGCACACCTGTCCCCACCATAAGATATGCTTCTCAAGATAAACTCAGGGCTAGGCCCCACGCCTTTGACCCCAGGGCTCTTTTAACTAAATCAAAATCAAACTTGTGCATCACAAGTGAGACCAACTCAGAAGAAAGCATATATACAAAGATGATGCAGAAGAAAATAGTTAACACTGACCCTGTGAACAGAGACTGAGCAGAGAAAAGAACAGAGGATCAGTAAACAGAAGTGGAAAACTTTTAACAAAGCAAAATGTTTGCTCTGGGTAAAGATGACTAAGCTGCAACCCCTTAGCAAATTTAATTGGAAGAAGAACAAACTTAAAATATTCAGGATGAAAAGGGCTTTATAGAGGGCCCACAGACACTAAACATGGAGCCTGGCATGACTTTGGCCCTATCACTTGGGAGGCAGAGGCAGGCAGATCTCTGATTTTGAGGTCACTGGTCTACTGAGGGAGTTCCAGGACAGCCAGGGCTACACAAAGAAACCATGTCTCAAAGAACAAAGCAAACACAATGAAATATAAGGGGGAAGTGGGGATTGAGTACCATGGAACCTGCTGAGTTGGTTGTTGATCTTGTCGTGTTTTTTTTTCATGCTAACACATGTTATGTTTTTAAAAGGAGCTGTGCACATGCCTTTGATCCCAGTGCTTGGAAGCCAGAGGTAGGAATTTCTCTGAGTTTGAGGCCAGCTTGGTCTAACCAAAAGCCTTTTTAAGTAAGAAAGAATGGACACACACATACATCATGAACAACGTTCTGCTGGAAAATCCAGTAACTTTGATGACATGTAGAATCCTTGAAAACACAGACTACCCAAGTACAAACAGAATGAAGCAAACAACAACAACAACAAAAGGCAGTGCCCTGATTATCTGAGGACAGACTTAAGCTTCACGAACCAATTCCTACAAACACAATTCTTAGCCCAAACAGTTGCAATGACAAATTCAGGGGGTATTTAACGGTGGAATTACACAAATCATGACTATTTCCCCCTTCTGGTTTATATGTGGATAAGGCTGTATGGAGGGGAGGGGGCATCGACAGTGCCTGGTGTCATCATTACCCTCATCACCCGCCACCTCGAGACACACCCTCTCTCTCTTGTTTGCTGACTAGGCCAGGCTAGCCTCTCCTGTGCCCTCCTCCATCAAATAATCACTGGGATTACAGACACGAGCTACCCTGTCCAGCTTCATGTAGGCTCCTTCTGCTTGCTCAAAAAAGGGCTTTACCCACTCGTCTGTCTCCCCAGCCCTGAATCTTACACTTTGTTTGCTCTTACAGTGTACACAGAACAACTTTCTGAATTATATGCTCCACAACTCTTGACACAGAAATCTAACAAGACAGGACAAGAGGCTTGCAGCCCACAGACACAAATTCAAACCAGTTCTGTATAGAAAGAATACATCCTCAGTCTGAGCTGCACAGCTCCTCTTTAAAAACATGTGTTAGCATGAAAAAAATGGCAAGATATGACCACCACCAACTCCGCGGTGACAGAATGTAACTGGCTGTTGGCAGATAAGGATGATTTCTCCCTACGAAATTCCTTTATCTAGTAGGACATCTTAAAGAGGAACTGACTACTTCTCACCATCAGTAACAGGACGGGAGGAGGGGGGGGGGGGGGGGGGGCTGCACTGCCCACGCTCAATATCCTGGGTTTCCTCCACATTCCATTAATGAAAGTAAAGAAATAAGATGCACAGTAAACTAGAAAGACACCAAACCCTCCTCATTGAAAATCATGCTAAGGCTGGAGCTAGAGAGCTGGCTCAGTGCTTAGAGGCACCTGTTGCTCTCCAGAGGACAGGGTGCGGTTCCCAGAAACTACGCGATGGCTCCACACTATCTGTAATTCCAGCTCCAGGGGATCTTATCCATTCTGGTCTTCATGGACACTGCATGCACATGATACATACACTTACACACACACACACACACACAGGCAAACACTTGTACACATAAAAATTGTGAAATGAATTAACACATTCACATTTGCACAACATTCACCCTTGAAGCGTATGCAATGATTTTAATTAATGCATTGGAATCTGGACACCATCCCATCAGTCTAAGTTTGATGCATGCCCATTGCCCCCAAATAAACCTCTGCACTCTCCCTGTCATTCATCTGTGTCTGGAAAATGGCATTTCAAGATGCTAGTTACAAAAGCAAAGAAAGAATCTAACAGTTTAAATTCAAAACTGTAATAACTTAAAAATTCCAACCCCTAACCCCAGTCATTATTATTATTCTCTTGGGTTTTTGTTTGTTATTCAAAGCAAAGCTCTAGATTTGGAAAAACAAACTTGGAGAAGTCAGCAGTGTGAGGTTCCAGCCTAGAGTTAAGGCTGAGCACTAGCCTAGTATATACACTGCTGTGGGTTCAACTCCAGCACCATAAACAAGACAAGCTGATGAATTATTGGCCTAAAGAGAGACCAAAGCAGGTACCCTAACAGCCACATGCATGGCTGACTGACCCTCCCTTTCAAAGGTGCCGTGATAAATAGACAGGAACAGAAAAGCCTCTACAATACCTCATCTCACGCTACACACAGTTCCAGGATGAAGCACAGATCCGAACACAAAAGCCCAAACTGTAATTCTTCTAAAGAAAACAGGATCTTTATGGCCTCTCTTCACACAAACTTCGTAGGGAGAAACACCTGTCATTTCTAAAGTCCAGAAACTGGACTGCAACAAAGCTTAGAAATTTTACTCATTAAAAGGCACTATGAAAAAACCAAACCAAAAAAAAAAAAAAAAAAAAGAAAGAAAGAAAGAAAGCAAATTTCAGACTGGAGAAGAATATTTCCAACCAGATCACAGATAAGCAAAGGACACCTTATGAATCAAGACAACAGGGCAGAAGACTCCTCATGAGGAAAGGGAGAGTATTCCCCCACTGTGATCGGGGGTGAGGAGTGAAGCCACAGGGGCAGACAATAAGCACATCCACAAGAGCAGCAGAAATAAATGGCTCAAATGCTGACAAGGTGGATAAACCAGCCCAGTTCACCCAAACTCACTGATAGAAACAGAACACTGCCCGGGACATGTGGGCAGACCCCCAGACACCCAGGAATGGCACATCATCGCCACTCCTCACTTGAGGTGATAGAGATGGAAAGCCCGTATCCATCCAAAAAGGAAGCAGGAAAGAAGAGGGTTTTCTTATAGAGTTCATAGAGTTCCATTCATAACAGCCCAAGTGCTACCACCGGAGGAAGAAATGGTAAGTTATCAAATACTCAACGAGAGCTAGGAGGTGGCTTTGGTAAGTAAAATGTTTGCCACACAAGTACGAGGACTCGTTCAGATCACTAGAACCCAGGTAAATGCCAGGTGGGCATGGCAGCCACTGGTGGAGAAAAGGGAGCATGAGAGCAAGCTAGACCAGCTTAACAGAGAGCTCTGGATTTGAACAGAACTTACCGCCATGAGTAAGGTGGAGAGTGACCAAGGAGGATGCCCGACCTAAGGACTCCACATACACACGTGTAAACACGGACATATATCTGCCCACACACATGCATTGCACACACATACACACAATTCAACGCAATCCTCCTAACACTAAGAGTAACTACTACCATATACAGAACAACACAGGTGAATCTCAAAAGACAATGTTGGATCAAAGAGGCAATGCTGCATGTCTTCTGTTGGCAGGACATAACAAAAGGTGACAAAAGTTGGAACTATGTGATTACATCATAACAACTTCTCGGGAAAGAGCAGACATGCTGGGCTGAGGTACCTGTTCACTCTGCGCGGGCATTTCTCTGGTTTAATGTCCAATTCATAGTGATAAATGTCAATTTTGGGGATGTCCATTTCAAAGAAATTGGCCTGCAGTTTGATTGTTCTCCCGGAGGTGCCGAAGTCCGGCCGAGGTGGAGGCTTGAAGGCATATCCTGGGATGGGTGATGTTGCTGGAGCAGGAGACGCAAGAACTGGAAAACAGTGGGGAGACAGAAGACTCAGGCTTGTTCCTCAGAATCATGGTGCACCCCAGCCTTCCCATACCCTTCGGATCCTGAGGCCCATACCTCTACGTGTACTCCATCTTGCTTTCCCCTCTGTTCATCCATTCTCCCACCTCATGACATCCCTGTGCAAATCCACCTCATCACAGGGGCAAGGGACACAGTAATGTGCCTGCCTCTGGCAGCTTGCTGGTCAGTGGCATGTCGAACCCTTCTTTCCCACCCCCCACTCCCGCCCTCTTGTTTTCCCGCATCACCAAGACAGGTTTCCTCTGCTGGGGACTTCTGTTTCTCTTCCTGGCTCAGAGAAAGTTCACACTGTAGCCTGCCACCCTTCCCCAAGATCCCATTCCAACAGAATGTCTGGGTCCTAGCCCTCCCCGCTCCCTCAGGAGGCTGCACAGTGCACCTCTTCCCCTGAGGCCCCCATCCCTGTGTGTGTGTTCCCCAGCAGAGATCCCACCTGATCACGCATTGGCCCAGCACAGGAACCCTGAGGAGGCTTAGGGGAGGGGGTGGCATCCCATCCCAATTTCCAGGCACTCTCCTAGATACCTGGCCTTAGTGTCATTACATATGTAATATATATCCTTCCTCTCGAATCAAAAACCTGTGGCTCTCTGGCATCTAGCCTATGTGTCCAGGTGGTACCAATGCCTAAGAACTCAGCGGTTCATATTTCAGCCCTACCCAGCCATTACTAACCAGTGTCCCCCTTCCCACTGCCCCGCCCAGGCCCAGGTGAGGATTCATCACCTGGGAGTAAATTCACCCCCACCCTCCCTCCTCTACCTCCATTTCCCTTTATTACATCCCCGGGTCAGCCTGTCATGCTGTGCTTCCATCCCAAGGTCTGAGGGTGCAACAGAAACCCAGACACACCTGACTGGGTGTCCACCAGTGCTCAAGGAAGCTGGGCTTCAGCCAAGCACTGGAAAACTCCAAGTCTCTAGAAAGTACCCATAGCAAATCATCAGAGTCCTGGGTCCAGCCCTCCTGCTCCAGTGGTCACACACACATGCAGGCACACTGACCCTCCCCCCACCGGCCCCAGCAGCGTTCACAGCACCTGTGCCATTTGACTTCCATAGGCTGGACGGGCTCACACAGGCTCTCAAGTACTGGCTCTCTCTGGCCCTGGAAACCTCCCCACTCAAGAACCTCATCTCTGCAATGGACCAACCCACGTTTCCAGGGGTGTGAGGTTTTTTGTTTTTGTGTTTTGTTTTGTTCTTGCGACAGGGTTTCTCTGCATAGCCTTGGCTGTCCTGTACTTGCTTTGTAGACCAGGATGTCACTGAGATCCACCTGCCTGTGCCTCCCAGAGCACTGGGACTACAGGCGTGCGCCACCGCACCCGGCGCAGAGGCGGCGATTTAACATTAACCCAACCATCAACTCAGAGAGTGCTGGGTTGAGTCAGGTTATCACAATCCTTCGATTTACCTGCGCTGCCTGGGGGGAACTGAAGCGACGGAAAAGAGGGAATTACTGGCAAGGAAAGCAAGGCCCATCAGACAAGCCTTATCTGTGGCACAAGTCAGAATCGCCCAGGTAAAGGTGTCCCCACTGCTGTTCAAATCCTCAAATCCTGCTTTGTTCTGCTCTGGATTGGAGACAGGGCTTGCTGCCCTGCAGTCCCACCTGGCTGGGAACTCAGGAGACAGAACAGGCTGGCCCAGCCTGCAGCTCTTCTCCCGGCTCTGAGTGCACACAGCAGTTGCAGGCTAACTACTGCCAACTACCTTAGATGTAGCCATGGGGCAGCGTCATACCAACTCCGAGGCCAGTACAGGACAAATCACAAGCTGCATTCAGGAAAAATACAACTCTCTGTTTATTAACAGACCCACTCCTACTTTTCATTCAAATACCCTGCTTCAAAAGACAAGCCACCCGCATTTTAAGACTCCACAAGCCATATTGACAGTCACTGGGAATAAATACCCCACCAAAAACAGCACAGTGAGCGGTCTTGGGAGTCAGGGGGGGGCTTGCTCACTCTGTTTTGTTTTCTCCAAGAAAGCTTAAGTGCCCCTGAGCTGAGCTGTTTCCTTGAAGACAGTCAGGTCTCTCCTCTACACTAATATGGCTTTAGAGGCGACATAGTCACAGCTTGTAAAACAGGCACCCCTCCAACAGCCCCCTCTTATGACCCTAACATGTTAGGGGCAGACTAAAGATCACGAGCATATGAAAAACTTTTCTCAAGTAGGTTTGGCCCTTCTGGACGAGCATCACCCAGCAGGAGGAAGTCAGCTCGCTTCATCAGCTCAGGAGGACACTTGCCACCCTTCCCTCCACAGGCCCTGACAGCGACACAGAAAAGCTCAACAACCCTGTCCCTTCCCTTTCAGGCCAAAGGAAAACAGATCTGTGGTCCCTGCTTTTCGGGGGTTCTCTACTGGTCCATGCAGCGTGGGGGCAAGGGTTAAGGTGCTTAAAACACAGGATCAGTTAATCCAGTCAGGAAGCTGGAACACACTCACTGCATGGGAAGACCCCAGTTTACAAAGGCAATTTAAGGAGCACTGGGGGGGGGGGGAGAAGAACCTAGGCTCCTCCCTTCTGTCACAGCTGATGTGTCCTCATCACCTAGACCTGGCCAAAGCTTATTTACAGAGGTCCACTTCTCGGGTCACCTGAAAGTCTATCCTGTACGCATCAGCCATGGGAACGAAGGAGGACTGTGAACCATCTCAGGCTGCAGGCAGAATTACTAACAGCCATGGGGAAACTGTGAAGTATGCTCTCACAAGACACTGTTTCCAGGACTTCTGGGGGAAAAGAAAGTGCGGCCACTTCACAGAAAGCCATGTAGATAGAATACGGAAGCACAACCGGATCATTCAAGTTCTCTGGCCTAGACCTCTTCCTAAGTACTGGGATCCCTCTTTGGAGACACCAGAGGCCTATTTTTGTCACTCCCAAGGAGCCCCAAGTGCACACTGCCAAACAAGCAGGAGGTTCAGACCTAAAGCCCTGGAGAGGAGCTGGCCCTGCATGAGCACAGAGTTCCCAAGAGAAAGGAGCAGTTCAGGGGAGCAGTTAGGCTTGTGAGGTGCAGGTGTTGGACCTGACAGGTAATGTGCCAAGATGGAAGAGGCGAAAAGCAGGCCCACCCACCCACACCCTCACACTCCTTCAGTCTGACAATGATGATACCAAGATAAAGTGAGGGAAAGCACCAGAAGACTCCTGGTGTGCTGGCCCTGCCCTCCGGCTCAGTCTCCGGAAGGATTTGCTGCTGCTCCTCCCCCAACCCCAGGCAGCACGGGGTCATACTACTGACAACCTAGGCTTGTCTCCTAGGCTTGTTCTCAAAAAATGTTTCCAGTTCCGTCTCCTCAGGAAATCCTTGGGACCAGGAAGGCAAATCCCATCTTTAACCTAGAAGTCCACAGATCTTCATGATTGGAAGAAACCTAGGAGGCCAGGGGGGAGGGGCGGTGCCAGCCCTCAACCCCTCAGTGATACCCTTAAGTTAGATATTGCTAACTGGAGAGGGTTCCCTGGCAGGGAGACTCCCAGGGCCCAGTCCCAGCGTGGTGCCAGGAACAGCGCAGGCACCCAGTGTTTGCCGACTCGCTGATCACTTAGCACATTTGTTTTAGAGCTCCATTTTTAGAGCTCCATCACAAACAGCGAAAGGGAAACACAGAGAATGAGTAATCGACTTCCTGTATGAGCAACTGGGTCCAGGAGACCAAGAGATTTGGTGTTTCTGACAGATGCCAAAAAAGGCGCCTGTGAACAAGCCTGCTGCAGCAGAGGATGGCCTCAAAAGTCCCGGGGAATTGGGGACTCTGTACAGGAAGGCAGAGGATGCCAGACTCCTGCCCCTGGGGCTGCCCCTCCCACACCTTCCAGCAGCACCCACTGTGCATGGTCACGCACATCCGCAGCCTGCCTCTAAAGGCCAAGTGCTGCACTCTGGAAACACTTGCTATGCCTGCATGCTCAGTTCAAACACAAACACCAACCCAGACAAGGAACCTGAATTAGTGGGGAGGGGGTACTAGGTCACAGGTAAGTTCTGGGAGCAACCCGAGGGACACCTACACGAGGCCTGGAATGCCTTGGGTCCCCAGCACAGATCTGGCCCAGTGCTAGAAGGGCCTCAGCGTCCCACATCATGATTGACTAGCAAAAAAAAAAAAAAAAAAAAAAAAAAAACTGAGCAGATGGTGTAAGGGGGGAGGCGGCGTAGGTCCACACCACATTCCCAGGGTTGTGCAGCAGGCAGGTGCGGCAGCAGAATGGGCTACTTTACTGATCTTTCTACCCACCCTCAGGCACCTAGGGAAGGGTCCTGGAGAAATGCTGTGGCTCAGCCCTGGCAGCCTAGGTTACCACACTGCCCACTTCTTGCAGTGGGATGGGTCTGGATGACGTTGGAACATCGTCAACAGGCCAGACCTGCACTGCGTATAAGCATTTCCAGGGAGAGCTTGTTTCCTGAGGGCTGTGAGACAGCCACTCCTCCCAGGCAGCGGGTGGTAGACAGACTGTCCTTATACAGGGCGCCCTGCTGCCAGATGCTGGCCTATGCTTGGCCACAACCACTACCAAGGAAGATCATGGTGCCTTCTGGAAAAACCTATGCTCGCTCCCTCTCTTACAGGTCCAGAAACAGGGGGACCTGGATGTCCCAAACCCTCCTCCTCACCTGGCCAGGCCTTCTATCCAGGCCCTCAGAAATGTCTGTCTGTGTGTGTGTGTGTGTGTGTGTGTGTGTGTGTGTGTGTGTGTGTGAGACTCACTGAGTATAAGGGCTTTGCTTCTCTACTCACGGTGGAGATGGAGCCACTGCTGTCGTATACTCTATTCTTTTCAACCTTTATAATAAAAAAAATTACAGACGACAAAAAGAAAGGTAGAAAAGATAAAACTGCAGAGAATGTTAGCACTCAAGACAAGCCTTAGTAAGATGAGCCTTCTAAGTACACAGGCCTCAGCTAGACCTG